CCCCCCCCGAGTTGTAGTAATGGGACTGGGTAGAGCACTTCATGACGCTGTGGTACCATGGCGTCCATTGGTAAAACCCGAGCTCGTGAGCTTGACGAGTCAAAGTACACGTCGTGACCAATCCACAGAAATCCTGTGACCGGGTGGTGACCTCAACAAGCGACCTAGCTAACACAAATAACAGGAGCTTGTCAATCGGCAGTGCACCAAGGTTATTTTATCTCCACTCTGAAATAGATCAATGCTGGAGTGGCAATTGATTATTTAATTAGCTTGAGCATAACCCACTAGCTCGATTATAGATTAGTGAATGACTAAGCGACCCGTCATCACTGTTCTTTAATCCTCAAAGTAATGCCACAGCTAAGTAATGCACTGACAAGTTGTATGGTTAAAGTTGTCGTGACCTTTGAGGACAGGGTTAATGCAAGTTCACATCTCCCTGGGCTTCAAGGGTAGCGGTAAGCCAAAGCAACCCATCACGTTCTGAAAACTCCGACCTACCAGAACTAATTTAATCCATCAGCTTAACTAGTTCCAGGTTTTAGCAGCATACATGTTTATCGAAGAGACAAACTTAAGGTAATGAAAAACGACCAAGGTGCCAAAGTTAGCCGTATGTGACAGTGAGCTAGCTTTTCATACAATTTTGTTAAACAGGTGTGTGCTGCATTTAACGTCACTTAAAGGTGTGCATTTTCATGACACCCAGGAAGTGGAATTGCGTGTTTACACGAGCAAATAACGCGGTGTCGTCATCGCGTTATGCGTGTCGGGTGTATCAAGTGGTACACGAAGATAGCTTCAAAGACTCCTTTGCTTCAAACTTGTAACAACTGTGAACATGAGACCTCGCTTACAACTGCGGCATTTACATACCTCCTTTACCAGTTGAAAAATGGCGCATTACAAACGGATTAGGCATACCATAAAGAACCGATTTAGTAAGGAGACCACTTCAACAAAGAGTACTATATTTGAAAGTGAAAGATATACACACACATAGGAGCGAGGGAAGAGAATGAGAGGAAAGGAGATTGGAAAGTTCATAGAGCTCCAAAGGAAGCTATTCTCTAGTGCTCATGTAAATCTCAACAACCAGCAACAAAGGGGCGAAGAGGGAGTGAGAGACTACACATCCTAGCTTAAGTACCTAATGACGCCTCCTTCATTTACAACCACGCAAATAGTTCACGAAAAAAAAAAAAGAAAGAGAGATATTTGCATCTGGAATTTTAACAATTTGAGGCAACGACAGTGATGATAGGAGGGTTTTCTCCCACCTGCCCCTCCTCAAGAAATGCCAAAACAATACTCTCCTCAAAGGAGTAAGTGAATATGTGTGCGTAGGTGCGTATCAAAAAAAAAAGCAACAAGAAAAGTTGGACCAGAAAGGAGCAGGGAAGAAAAGACCTAGGAAATGCGAGAAGCACTTGGCTGTGGAGAGTTGCTGTTTGACGTAGCGTGCCGTAAGCGTGCTTGCAACTCCTCAATCCGCACAGCATCGAGCGAGTAGTATCGACGACGGTAGAGTGGTGGAAGAACTTCAGGAGTGAAATCGTAGACCTGAGTTAGGAGTGAGTAGTGCGTGAGAGAGATGAAGAGAGAGCAAGGCTCGCGTGTTGTTGCGTGTCCAGTGTGTGTACCGGTTGAGAAGCAGGCTGAGACAAGCTACTCTCTCTCTAGCTACCAAAGCAAGTGACAACAACAAACAGCCATGGCGATGATGGCGAGAGAGCGAAATCAGTTGTAATTCACAATTAGGGTGTGCGTGTGAATTCTGGCTGATGCTAGGACAATGGCTGACCCGGGCTTAAAATTCACATTTTATTGCCTTATAGGAAGTTGGAGGAAATGCCACAGTGCCATTGCAACAAAATTAAGGTGACTTGACTTGAAACCCACCGTATTTGATCAATGGAGATGGATGTCAGCGAAGAACCATCAAGAACTTGCATTCGGGAGAGAGATAATTCATGTAATGCTAGAGGAAAACGTAAAACCAATCTCAACTGCGACTACCATGACCAAAGAAGCGGCTACATTGAATCAGATTGTTAGCGTCTAAGATGGCTCAAGGGCTGCATATTCAAGCCATACGAGTCTACAATACTCCAAAGATCTGAGGTTCTACCAATCAAGTTGGCCTAGTCTAACTTCAGTATCCAGAGATGCATTCCACTTCCCCTCGATCCCCAAAAGTGGCATAGCAAAAGAGCGGACGTTAGCACTAAGACAGTGGGATCTGCCACCCTCCTCCCCAGTTTGACGGCAGCAACAGCACCAGCAAGATGACAACGATTCGAATGAACTTTGCAGTCAATGAAGGATAGACGCAAGAAGTATGTGCAAACCTAGTGCAACAGCAATAATTACTAGTCCTGATTAATATGAATCCTTCAAATGAAATACGGAAGGTGGAATCATGAAGCACAACTAGGCCACAGTTTAATCCCATATCTTAGTGTATCAAACGCCAAGCCAACTAAATTATACCAACTTCGATCAAATGTGAATGGAAAACTCCGGCGATACGAATCAAGAAGGCTATCTTTAGAAGAGCGTCACAATCACTCTAAAGGCAGGTATTTCCCCAAAAACCTATCCAATTCATCAACCAACTTCAAAGCTCTTCTCAATCTCGCATCAGCCCACTCTGACTCCATCTGAGGCACTTCAAGTGGAATTCAAGTCAGCACCCACACCATCTCGTTTGCAAAGCCTGTTGAATCAGAAAGTTACGAAGAAGTCAAGTACATAAAATCTACAAAAGGGACTGAGACAGAGAACTACGAAAACCAGCACCTACAGAACCTAAAAATAGGACTTAGACTGAAAATTCCAACTTTTTATTTAGGAAAAAGCCAGAAAACGAAAGTACAAATAACCTAATGACAATCCACCTCAAAGTTGCACTCAATCCAATGTCAACCCTAGCCTTGTGTCTCAAACAATTTGAGATCATTATAAAGTTGGAGGGAGTCACAAAAAGCCATTGAGAAGGGAAATAGAGTACTGACCTGTCAACAAGAACTGATGAGAGAGAAAGCACAAAGCCTAAATAACTTATTAACGTCGTTACCTATCGTATAAAACTCAAGGCAGGCCTTAAGGCTAAATTACTCGCGGTGTCCTACCAATAGTTCCAACAACTTGACAACACTACCCTTCCACCTTCATGCACAAATACACATAAAACCCCCACCCCTAAGAATAAATGACTCTAGTCAGGGCAAAAGGGCAGAAGTTGACGAAAAAGGCCGTTTCCTACTTCGTCGTCAGCATGAGGAGATGGCGGAGGTGGAGTTTCTTCGCAATGTATCCGAGGGATCGGTGTAAGTCGCGGCGGGGCTATCGACGGAGCAATAAGTTGTGGCGGAGACAGGTCCTCCTCTGTCGGAAGGAGGGTAGGCGGAGTTAGCACTGTCATCTCCGTCTCAGGAAAGAGTTGAGGAGGGTAGTGAGGACGCTTTGCAGCCGATGGTCGATAGGTGGCTTCTAAATCAACCTCCTCTCCCTCCTCATCTAATTCCAGCCGCTCGCAATTCAGTTGGGTTCCCATCGCCATCCGACGTTGGAAATCAGCCAGCCGGGCCAACTAAAGCGCCAATAGCCAAATAAGAGAGCAAATGACAAAAAGGAGAGGAAATGAAGCGTGTCTCACTTCTTCGCGGAGTTCCACCATCTTCGCCTCAAGATCGCGATGATGTCGAATAATTTTACGCGCTTCGGAGAAGAAGGTGGCCGGAGTGGTGACAAGCATTCCAAGCTGAAGAAAGAACGAGATATTGCTGCATCGCCATAAATAGGCAGTTAAGACATGAAGATGATGGACACACTCATTAACTGGGTCGCCTTTCCTTTCCTTTCCTACTACATAGGAGGCAAGAATGAGTGGAGCATAGATTTCTAAGACATTTTGCTATAACCTAAACTGTGTTGTGATGACGAATAATTCGAAGAGCGGTTGAGTTCCACATACCCATTCATTACTAGTTCGAAGGGAAGTTGCAACCCTTGGATAAAATGGAATGAAATTTTGTGGATTTCGCAAACGCCAAAGATCCAGAAGTAGAGGGCTTCCCTTATTATGCGTTTTGGCTCAATTTGCCACTATTCAAAAAAAAGTGGTTTGCCCTTCCTCTTAGACTCAACAGCTCTTACTACTCATCCTCCATGATTCAAATGAAACCCACAGAATTTCATCCCAATATGTTGCATCAAGCATGAAAGCATTCTAGAGCACAGTGGTGTGTTTAATCAGCAATAAGAAAGTGGGTGAAGTAAAAGTAGAGACGCTTTATTTTTGGAGACAGTGCTATCACAGTTGGAAAACAAATCACCAATCAAAGGGCGTCTGAAGTGCTTTGAAGATACGCCCCACGCACTACACTATATATAACAATCAAAGCGTAGGAGATGCAATTGTGAGTGAAAGTGAATCACTGCTTATTAATATACTTGTGGTCAACAATGTCTTGGAGCTGCATTAAAAAAGGTGCCCAAAGGAAACTAGAAAAGACTAACAACTTGTTAATCTCTACAACCTGGGGGTAAGCCGATGTGAATGAGATTTTACCGACCTTATTTGTAAAAGCCGCGAGTTGCTGCCGTCCCTCTTCATGCATTGACTTTATCGTCTCCTCCAGCCTGGTGACATGGCTCATCAACTGATTTTGGTGTTCCTCCTTGCTATGTAGCTCTTTAGCATACATTGGACGTCGTATTCGTCCAGCCTGTCTAAAGAGCATCCGTTTCGTCAGTTCTAAAGACACGAGAAGAGCAGAGAGAAAACAATAAATTCTTCTCTGAAGTGAGGTACATTCGTAAGCATTAGTTTAATTTGACTTAGTAAATGATCTCACTTCTAAGTCACTTGGATATAAGGTGAACTCTGAGTCTCCACGAAAACATTTCTCGTGGTAGCTCAGAGTTTCCGGCTTAATTTTTACCAGAAATTGTAAAGGAGGCAGTTGAAGGCGCCACTTAAACACCTACTCGGATGACGTCGTGGAGCCGACGACGTCGAGAATCTGAAATGATGACAATGAGGATTGTCCTCGTGAAGGAACGACCAAGAGGAAGAGGTAGAGGGTATTGAAGGCTCCGTCTTTGGTTCCAATTTGACTTTGAAGTCGGAGTCAGCAGAGGCGCAGTCCGAGTGGGAATATGAAGAGGTAGATGGTGATACTGAGGATGGTGAAGTTGGGAGGTCACCCAATGGTCGCGGAGGGCAGTGACCCGACTGGGGAGTCATGCGGGAAACATCTGTAAACCAAAAAAAGGGAGAGCGATTTGAAAACACAAAGAAAACAAATAAACAACCAGTACTCCGCATTCGAATGAGTTCATAAACAAAAAAATATCCTAACTGTACCACCATGACGGATACAAATGAAAAGCCACGATCAAGTCAACGATCTTTTAAAGAGATTTGTAACACATGCTAAGCACAAAAACAAGTAGGTGACTGTTAGCAAATGAGAAAAAAATTGCTTAAGCCTGCCAGTGATTAATTCGAGAATTGGCTGCACAAAAATAGAAACGCTTCTGCCTCCCACTCCCACAAGTCACCGATGGTCGTCGGCTTGAAACCCGTCACAAGTGACTTAAAAAGCAACCCTTTACCATACTAACAACCAAAAATCAGGAAAAGGCTTCTATCTTAGAGCATTATGTGGTTTTATCCAAGTTCTAGTGTACAGTCGGTCTAATCAACGCAGCCTACTAGACACCACCCCGGTGAGTCGAAAAAACATACTTAGAAGAAAAAACACAAAAGATTTATTGCTGTCAAAAGTACAAAGAAACATACAAAAATCTACCCAACTGCCGCTAAGCAGGAACCCAAAAATGCAAAATAAAGCAAGCAAAACCCGGTGGGAGGAGATGCGTACGAGTGTAGGTGGACTAGACAAAGGTGGCTTGAAGTAACCTTAAGTCCACTCTCATACGCAAAGGCCTCTTACCACCACTGAACTCGTCCGTTCCTTCGGTTTTGAGTATGCCGAGAGGAGGAGGAGGAGGAGGGAGGAGTGGTGGTGGTGGTGGTGGTGGTGCCGGCTTCGCAGAGTCCATAGTAGACTCGTCGTCGCCATCGTCTCCATCATGCTCTGCCATCGTGAAGGCAGAGGAGGACAAGGATGCCGTGTTGGACTTCGCACCAGCCTCACGCATGGCACATCGCTTTGCTTTGCCGCCTTGACGACAACCACCCCTTCGCCGGCGCTTGCGACTGCCACGAGGCTCGGCGACATTGGCAGAACGTCGCGACTGCGAGATGCGAGGATGTCCACCACCGCACATCAAGGGCGTTGTACTTTCGGCCTTGAAGAAAAAATAACGAGAAAAATTTGACACCCCCGCTCAGATAAGTAGCAACAACTTGAATACGTCTACCACACCTATTCTCACGTGAAGACCCTTTGTAATAACTAACAGACCACTCAGGCGCAAAGGATTGTGAACCTACTCACATACTGCAGCCGATTTTAGAAGAAAGTTGGAAACATGAAAAATCGGCATAAAAGGGGTGAGGAAAGAATCGGATGTGCAAGGGCACCTCGACTCCGATGGGATACTACAACATATTGATTACGATATGGACTGGACTCAATTACGAAGCCTCTACATCACAAAAAAAGCATCTAAGATGCACTCAAAACATCGCGTGCGACATTTTAAACTAATGAGCTGGTACTGGTTTGGATAATGTCATTGAGAGTCCAATCTACGGATTACACTAATGATGAATCAGGTTAGTAAACTTTTTGCATCAATTCATTTCAGTTTAATTAATGGAAAGCTAACAAATCATAGAGTAAGCTTGGTCAACACTATTAACAGCAGATTTAAAAAGAACGGTGAACGTCAGATCAGTGAAATGCATTCCTTCTCTCTCTGAGTTCTCAAATGGCGCGAGGAATAAGGAACCGAAGACGGAAAATTAGTCGACTCGTTAAAAAAGTGGAGTTCATCCCAGAGACGAAGGGTTACTCAATGTTGCGCTAAAGTCCTTTAACGGTCGCAAGGACGATAAATACTAGCATCCGCCTGAATTAAAGGGAAGTATGAACCGTTTAGGTGAGGTTATTAAGGGCAAACCGGATTTCATAAGCTCTAGACAATACTGATGTCAAAGCTCAGCAGACTCAAGCATCATATCCCACAGCCTCTTAACTCGGTAGCCAGGTCTTGGGAGGGGAGATAATTGAGAAATCACATGACCTTAGAGGAGTATGACACCTTGGGGCTAGTACTGACAGTAAATTACGGCCAGTCGTCAAGGCTGCTGCGTCCAAGTTAACTAGGGGTTATATCGACGCGAAAAATCGTAGATTACGTAGCCTTATTCCTTTCTCATCGCCATGGCAACGCCATTATAATGAATAGCTGTCCCAAAGACTAAGAATCAGTGATAGGGCATTAAAATACCTCGACGTGTTGCTCCGACGATAACTTTATGCAACCTCAACGACCTTGTAGCGTAACAAACGCGTTAGTTATGAAAATACTTTCCTCCTAAGACAATTATGCGTCACTAATGTAAAATGTGAGAATATTACGCAGCTACTTGATTTCAGCACTCTTCCGGCACTTCATTTCACCAATCCTGCGAGCAACATCAACTGTAAATTAGTTTAGCCCGTACGTTTCCACCTCAACGCGGATTGTGTTGTGACACAAGTGGAGCACAAACCAATAGAAATCACCTGTGAACCATCGCTGGAATTGGACGTCGAGGTGGTGACCGCGGTGGTCGAAGCAGAACCGGCAGATTTCCGCTCCTTCGTCCTATGGCCTTGCTGACCCTTTTTGAGGTCATTGAAGTACTTCAGTAACTGAAAGGAAGACAGTAGAGGAGAGAATTAGTCACGCGACCGCCTGTCTAGTCGAAGGCCTCGGCCAAGAATAACACCGTCATGGTAGTCTTGTTTGCTGTTTATGACCATTGGTCCAATTCAGGTGAGAAATGCCAGGAAACAAGGAGAAGTTAGCATGGAAAAGTGGGCAATAGAAAGCATAGCAAAACTAAACCGAAGCTTACTTTACCACTGCAATAAGTTCACATCTGCTCGGAAGTAGATAAGGGCAATGATTGTGGTAGGGTTGCGCAATAAGAGGAATACAACTAAATGACACTGTAGGCTTCGGAATGAACAGATCAAGAGTACGGGATTAAAAGATTAGCGACTAGTGCTCTCAAACATTTTTAAAACTAAACAGTCCCATTCTTGTTTTCAAAGTTATCTAGCCAAAATTTAAGTCTACTGCGAAGTAACAGAAGAAAACCATTAAATAACGGGAGCCAGGTTAGGTCGACAATGTGCTCCAATACATATGGAGTCGAAAAATTTATAGCAGTGCGAGGTGAAAACCCGAGAAAATTTGGAACAAGTGGATAGTCTAAATACTTGAGTATTGATGCTAAGCAATGCATGCAGAGCGAGGTTTTAATTGGGTTATGTAGAAGATTATTGGCATTCAGGTATCCCCCACTATCACAGACAGATAATTTTGAGCCTTATCAACATCTAATGTTGAGGACAATTAAAAATTTGAAGATTTGTATAAAACTTCCCAAAAATAATGAGTCATCACGGATGTCCTAGGAGTCTAAGAAAAGTGACAAATGAGCAAAAAGAAGCGCCAGCGGAAGCATTAAAGGTAGCAACAGTTGCGCATACATCCGTGCAACAAGAAAAAGATCAACCGGAATGTGTTTGCACAGGCTTTCATCTAGTGACTCATCAGATGACAGAGATGGAAACGCAGGGCGAATAAAACGAAACAATAATAAGGGCGAATAAACCATCATACACAAAAGAAGGGCAAAAGGCCGAGTGAAATTAGCGCCAGCAGGATAGAATGAGGATCGACTTACTGGAGATCTATCTATGGTGTGGACATAGTAACTGAAGGGCTTGTCCGTCCAGGAGACACCGTCGTTAACGGGGTCTAGCAGAGTCAGCTTTATGATGGAGCTGAGGTCTACAAAAAATAGTGGATAATACAAATTGGTATCATTTGCCATGGTCTGCACAAGAGCCTTACCTCCAAGCCTGCGATCAGACATGCGAATGGTGCGTCCGCAAAAAGATTTCGAGGAGATGACCCTAGCGCCCTCGCAGAGACGAGAAAACCGAAGTGTTAGTTGATAGTCCAACTCCGGTCCAAAGGCAAAATTATTAGCGAATACAATCGTCGATGCGTCGATTATATCAATATAGTCATCAGCAAGAAAATCACCCTGAATCAACTAAAAGCCATATAAATGATAAATAAAATTTTATAACCAGAAAACATGTAAGTTTATGAAACAACACTTACCTCATAGGGCTGATAGGTCTTTCCAAAAAAAGCCATCCATCTTCGAAACTCTTTATCCATACGGACAGCACACTGAGCAGGATAATCAGCCTTTTCAATTCCGTAGGAGAACTTGACATTAGTCGAAGCAGCCACCTGCAAAACCACCTGACCAACACCGCTTCCAAGATCGATAAATGTGTCTTCGCCGCTAATGGGAATACTGTCGACCATTTGCTGAATTAGTTCAAAGGAGGTTTCCCCATAGACCTGAGGAGAGAATGGAGGATACTGGTTTAGTTTATCCGGCTCTTCAATGGCACGATTGTAGCAAAGAGCCATGATATACTTCAGTTGATGGAACTTTGCTTGGCGTTGACAAAATTTTGGAGTGATCCCACTAGCTTTCCACTAAAGCAAACTGTTAACACAACAACTTGACAGTACTTGCTTGCAAAATTCTTCTACGCAGGAATTGTAAAATTTGCAATACGTGGAAATGGAGTCCCACGAAGTCCAACTCACAGCCGAAAAACCGTTAAGCAAAACTTTATTTGCATTTAGCTCCTCAACATCAAATAATGTACAATTAATGCAATCGTAAAGTTCCCTATTATCGTCTTTCACTAAGTCCCCCTAAAAGAAAAGAAATACCTTAATAACTTCGAGTGAAATTAAAAATATGTAAGTTGCGGGATTCTCACCGAGCATCTAACCACACGAAATATCTCGTCTGGTGCACCGGCTGGACTTTTGATAGACAACTCATAGAATTCTTCCATCTCCCCACAATAAAATATAGCTAAGTTAGAAATGAAACCTATAGATCTAGATTAACCAGCCCTCTACATTCATAATAGTAGTTGAAACAAGGGGAAGGGGGAGCTTCAAGGTCACAAATTTTGAAGGTATGTTAAAATATTTATCTTATTTACTAACACGAAGAATCGAGGTATTAAATATTTACTTATGACTGTATTATAAACATTAACAAAGCAGGCGCACATAAACGATGTGCTGCGTACTTAATAGAAATGATCTGTTAACACATTAAGCTGAAAATTTAATGGGCAAAACTTAAAGCTTACTCCGATCATTCAGTTCTATTACGGTAAAAATAGTTAGCATCAATTGTATATTACGCCTTAAACTTGCACTCACGACATGGTTGAAACCCACGCCCGAAAATGTGGTTTGAAAGTCCAATTATAGACCTTAACAGACCTAACCCGAACACCGATCGCGCCGCACCTCACCACTCCCCACGAGACCACGAGAAAAACAACAAATACCCCCCACCGCCCGCAAAGTTAGAACATCGAACCTCACTATCGAATAAGTATCAGCACAGAGTACAAAAGAATTCATGGATAAATGGCACAATGGTAATAGTCATCGGCGGAATTAGTCCAACTGTCCACGAAGTACGTACAACTCGACAACAGCAGTTCACAAATTTAGGGATTAATCCTCCGCCACCGCTGTTACTTCGTCATCGCTACTACCACTACTGCTACAGCTCCCTAGCAACTCTCTCCGACTAGTACTCCTCACTTCTGCAGCTTCTCCCATCACTGCTTTACTTGAGCCGTTTGGTGGAAGCAGACCAGGCGAGGGGGGAGCTGATGAGTGCGCCGAAGAGGGTGCAGAAGAATCATAACCGGTTTCTGCCTTCTCTCTACCGGCAGTGGTAGTCAAAAGCATAGGAGGAATACCAGTTGTTGGTGGCAATGTATCCCCACCACCACCGCTGGTGTCGGGGCTGTGAGGTGGGGTAGGGGAGGCGGTGCTATCGCCAGCCTCCTTGGCGACGACGCCACCCCCACTGCTGCGATGGAAGAGACCGGAGGGAGTAGAAGCGGAAGTGATGGGTTTAGCTGGCTTTGGTGGAACACGGATGGGTGAGAGAGTAAGAGGAGAACCGGTGTGAGCGATGGTGCGACGTTTCTTAGAAGGAAAGCGTGCAGCCGAGAGTTCTGCCTTTTCCCGTTTCAAGTTACGGATTGTCTCCTGTTGGAAAATGAAGGGACCCACAGTAAGCACTTCCTGCCTTCTACTCTGAATAAAATATACAAAATTTACCGCGGGCTATCCACCACTTATATGTGATGCCATAAGGGAGTGATTTCTGAGTACCTCGCCTTGACCTACAGCCTTTAATCATGGTGTTACCAAAACGCTGTATCACAGGATCCAGCCCTTACTGAGTAAATTAGAACTCAGTCTCATTTGCCGAGTACGAGCAAGCAAGCAATACTAAATCATTCATTTCGTTAGCCTCACTTTAAAATGTTACCTGGATTTCCAAGGTAAGAAGTCACACTTGGAGATGACCAAATGGGGTTCAAGATACACAACACAATCAGTACATGCAAGTGTAGCTGACCTTGAGCCTTTCGATCTCCTCATTGGTCATGTGCTCGGTTTTGAAGGCGCGTTCCCGTTGCTGCGACTCGTAGTCATCGAGGTCTGATTTGAGACCCGCAATCACCTTATCCTTCGCCAACAGCTCCGCATCCTTCTGTGCCAGTTGACGCTTTAAAGCCTTGATGTCGTCCTGCAATTGGCCGATAGTTAGGAGATGTTCATTGTATGCCGAGTCCATGCTGGATCAGAGGTGAGGAAATGTGCAACTAGTGATCCAATTAAAAATTGCTTTGCACAAATGGCTACTCTGCATCCTATTTACACAACCAAAGTAGCTTGTGTCCAAGAGCTTCCCAACGTAGTACTCCAAATAGAATGAAACTGAGGAATGGGGAGATATTCAGGGGCATAAGTGCAAAAACATAATACGCAAATGTGAATTTGATAAAAAATATATTTGCAGAGAAGCCACGCAGTGAAAGCCAATAGGACCAACGAAGAAATAAATTGAAGAGGAACCTAGCCTACACAATCAGAAAATGAAAGAGTGACTTTCAATCTAGCATATGAATGTTTTGAGAGACTCTAGAGATTTTTGAAAATGATGTAAGCACAATGAAATAGAAAGAATAAATGTAGAGGATGGGTAGAAAAACAATGAGAAGATCTAGTCAAGAACGGAGGTTCAAAGCACTCTATTTTGAAATCATCCATCAGGAGGGATGTACGAATAAGAGTACCTGAGGAATGGGGAAATCTAACTCAAACAAAAACGATATGGAATGATCGAACGAACTAAGGAAGTGGAATAAACCTAACCGAGATAAGAAGTTTGAAGAAAATGCATGCGGAATACAAAGGGCGCTGTAGCAACATACCTATAATTGGTAGAGTTCCCAGAACGGTTCGAAGTGTGTCTACTGGTATACTCCTCAGCTTTTGGGCGCTTGACGGCGCTTAAACTATTCTCAAAAAAAAGCTTTAATTACTCTTTAATTAAATGCTGTAAAGTAAATGCTCAATAAGGAAGTACTTTGATGAAACGTGCGATTTCGAGAAGTACGAGTCGTTGAAACTGCCGCGCTTCGATTGGTGCTTCTCTGATCGTTCCTTTGACTTCGACATTTTGTAATTATATGTACACACCCAACAAAGAACCTGACCATCAACCTTGCTTCGACTAGCCTGGAAGAGAAATAATAATAATAATAATAGGTATACATAAACTACATGAACCAACGGAATAAAAGGGTAGTTACTTCGTCCTTATAAAATGCGCACATATGGAGACATTTTTCACATTGTCTGGGATCACCAAACTTTGTGCGATAATGCAGACAACGTTGACAGACCAATGCACTACCGAATGCCATCGGGAGTTGACAAATCGTACACGGTTTCGGATCACCAAATCTTGATTTTAGTGAGTAACATCGGGGGCAAATTGCACCTGATCTAAAAATTAAACCAATGAACCACCACAGTAGCTTACATTGACTGTTTGAAATCGGATCTGCAATACTCGCACTGTTTAAATGACGAGTGGTGTGGATTACATGCCTAGACATTGATTGTCAGTTAAGAGCGGTAATGAGGAACCTTGCAAATTGTTCCAGATCGTGACATCTGCGATGATGGAAAATTTTTGAGGCAGCGTGTACATGAGAACAGGGGCTGTTCCATTGTCCACTCAAGCAAGTACAGCCAAAGAGTGCAGATGGAAAGCACAGAGCACTAGCCAATAGGCACGCCGGACTATGATAAGAGTTGGACGTTTGTATTACAAAATTTGGGGTCCATAGCGTAAACTTTATAAAAGGAACCGAAGTTCAGCCTCAAATATAACTTAGCATCCGTGGCTTAGCTCTATAATTTTTTGCCCAATTTAGTTGATTACATAAATAACACAAAACGCACCCATTCTTGCTAAACCAACAAGCCATGAAATTCGGAAATGATGATCTCGTATAATAAATGGTAAAATGTCTGTGCATTTAATAAAAGTTTGGTAGGCAGAAGACCAGTCCATCAAATGTACCTAAGAAGGCCTGCACAAGAATCCATATAAGCGTAGATTTGTTTGCATAGCTCTTGATTGTTGGCAGAGGATAGCCTAGAATACGTTAGTTTCACTTTCATGGGTTTACCTGGACTTCGAGCAGTATCACATGCCCAACAACTCCCTGGACTTTACAACACACCTTAAGCATTATCCGCCCCTGACTTCAACATGCGCAGATGTTGTAGCGCCACCATACTTCTCATCGTGTAGAGCAAGGTATTAAACTGAGACGAATATATGCATCCCACATGACCACATCCACGAGAGCACGGAGACTACAAAGTAACCCCCAGACATCCAAGTGATCACACAAGTAGAGCATTGGAAACAGCTCACCATTTCATAACAGGGCATCTAAACCCACCGATCGCCCACCCCGAGCCGCAGAAGACCGAATTACAAAGAATAACTTCGTATACTAAATCAAATGCGAGTTCTGCAACATCGCCTACAGTGCTTCAAATGCCTATGCAATAAAAAAAGGAGTATACAATTTGAAGGGAAATGAGACACTGTCAAAAACGCCTGAAACACGAAAGGAATTATAGTGGTGAACTGGAATTATGGAATAGCTGACACGTGAGCATTCCATTCCTAGAGGTAGGCGAGCGGGGAATAGGGCTTGAGATTGGGTGCGTCTGTCGTCTCCTCACAACGATCGTAAATCGCCATCTGATAGTGATTTTGTAGAATAGAGGAGAGTTTCTACAATACCAAAAAAACCAGGTAACAGTAGTGGTGGAGTTTTTATGCCAGAGACAAGTCTGGCAGAACTTACAGACTTGACTCCTTGTACATCAAGAGGGAGTAGTTTTGTACGCTGTAAAGCGTAGCGCAAGTCACAATGGAGGGCCATCAGCTGGCTCACCGACCAGCCCCGTGTAATAGCAATGGCCTCTTGCAAGAGCGTTGCCATTGCGGAGCGAAGAGAAGAGAGGAGAGGCCCCTCCACTAGGCACTTTGCGGATAGCGGCGGGAGTTGCGACGGCAGCAAAGACGCCCCAACTCCCTCCATTTCCGTCCCAGACTCCAATAAAAGAGGTGACGTGGATGCAGGAAGTGTTTTTGAGTCGTCATCCGGCCCATCCTCCTCTCCGCAGTCGGCGACGATGACTGCTGCATTGTAATCAGTGAAGGGCGAAAAATCGGTCAAACTTTACTGCTACTCACGTCATGAAGAAACCAACAAATAAAATTGTGAATTTAAAGGAGGTTTACGATTCCATAACATTTTCAAGAAGTTCAATTTCACGAACCATTAGTAGCTGATTGCAAATGCAAAGAAGTTTCCTCGTTTACATCAACAGGTGTATCATTTAACAGCGTATTGGAGGTGGTCACCTGCAAAATTCGAAAGAAGCCCTCAAAATACAAGTGAAACCGTCTGCTTCAATAAAAAGTAAGATTGCTCATCAGATGCTCACATCATCATCGGTTCCCTTTTTGGGCGGGGAAGGGTGTCGCAAAGGTCGGGGGACATAACGGGTATTGGTCAGTTGATCCACCTCCTCAGCTCCAAATATCGGTTGCTCGCCCTGAACCAAATAAAGATGAAGTAGAACAAATACAAAAGTGAGACACTAAGACCTGGACAAAAGTGGAAGTTGGAAACCTACGTGAAGTCGACGACTGTAACGACGACTTGAAGAACCAGAAAGGACTGTGGAGAAGAGCTTTGGATGAGAAGAATGGTTCTGTTGGGGAGGTGGACTCATTGGACAGGCAGCAAGAGCCTATAGAAAAGAAGAGGGCCATCCGATTCACTCAAGTTCTAGGGACTAGGACCTTTTTAGCTTTTAGTAAACTCACCTCAGTTACCCTCTCTCCCAGATCTGTGAGAGCTTGGTTCTCATCCAAAAGCATCTCGGTAGCATCACAAAATTCAAATGCGCGTTCTCGAATTTCACGACTACGAGGCACGTCAACAGGATTGTACTCCAGTGCGTTCTTGTGAATCAACTCTAGATCCTACAGCGCAAAGATAGAAGGGCTAGTTAAGAAGAGGGGAGTTATTAACAAACAGAGGTTCACACCGACACACATCAGCAAAGTCCTTCAACGAGGTATACTGATGCCCATCAATTTTTGCTCTAACCATGCCCAAACTCATGGGCTGGCGGATGACATCATAGTAGTCAGGCGCCTCATCCCGATTCACAGGTCTCATAAAAACCGCAAATCTCCGATCCCGTGTCAACTGCGCCACCACACGACGCAATTCCACGCGTAAATGTCGCAACAATCGGTCCCGTTTCTGTCGCGCCTTCTCTAGTTCTGCGGCTGTCATCTCGTGCTGTCGATGTTCCAGGATCTCTGTTGTTGTTTCATTCAAGGGAGGTGGTGTTGGACTAAAAGAATGGTCAGGGTGATACCTACACAGCTGTCGCTTACAAGCACATATATGGAGGAACACTCACGGCCTTGGAGGTAGACTGGAGGTGTGTTTGTTCAGAGAGGAATCACCCTCAGAGGCGTTAAGCCAATCAAAAAAGACAGGAGAAAGAAACTCGCGGCGTAAATGGTCACCAGGCGGGTGGAGACTGATTTTCTCCACAAAAGGGAAACGAAAGAGACGTCGAAGGTGGGTGTTTACGAGGTGGTCAGTACTGCCACCACCGGGGGAAGAGAGGGGAGACAACTGAGAGATGCGAGGTGCCCCCATCGCCTCCTCCTCAGCAGCCGTTGATTCACCATCAACCCCTTCCACCTCCACTTCTGGGTCAAGGGAAGGTTTAGAGCGGCTGCGTTCCCCAGCTTGTTGGTCGCGTAGCCAAGCGATTGTCTTCGGCGAGGCGTGACCATTGCAAAGTGCGCCAGAATCTAAGGGAGGGAATAGCAAACGGACATTTAAACTGTACATTACAAGCTGGCCATCAACTATCATTCTTTTACGTTCCAACACCAAACCTATTTTCATAACCATAGCATTCTTGCAATGCCATAAATTGCACCAGAACAACAGCCACGAAGAGCATCGAAGACTATGCTCGTGATCCTTCGCTATTCAGATCTGGTCCCACCCAATCCATCTGCACATCAGCAAAACCCACCTTAACTTCACAGAACAGAGAGGATTTACCTTGAGGAGGAGTATTTAGACGAAGTGAGGATGCGGGTGGTACACGAATAGACAGGGGGCCTGATCTCGATATTTGTGACTGATGAGATTGTGCTTCCTCGCCTACAATGGACGAAGGAATGATGCTGGGAGGAAAGCTTTTCACAGTGGCCACGAGGACGATACGCCTGTGTATAACACAGCTAGTATCGGTAGCAGCTGAAGTGACTTCGAGAAGTCGTTCCACCAGATGGTGGCAAGCGACAGCGGGAAGACGGGCAAGAAGAAGATCAATTCTAGGGACAAAAAGCACCACCCCAACGAGATTAGAGGGACTGGAAGGGAGAGTGGTGGTGCCGGTGGAGTGAAGGTCTGTGGGAGCCTGCTGGTACTGGTTCAGCAAAGAACGACGCGCTGCCGCAATTATTTGAGTGATTGATGTCACCACGCTCCCGGAAGCACTTGTGTAGAGGCTTGCAAGGTTGAGAGTATAGACCTGAAATAAAATGACGGTAATGTGTATCAAGCAAGGACCTTCCACAACTGGACTTGCCCGTCAGTATAATCTCCTACCATATTAGCATGCTCTAAACTGCTTATAGTTTGCCAAACTTAGCTCACTCAAGTGTTCACGAATGGTTAGGATTAACGCTTTCACATGGATCCACTTAAAATAGACTTTCCAAAGGATGACCATCAGATTGCTCGACGCAACCATGGCCAGAACAGTCACATTGACAGGATAGGCAAGTGGACAACTTTAACACATGCTGTACAAATGCCACTGTCTAACGTAGAATACCAATTTGACTGACCCTCTAAAAATTTCGAACTTACTAGCTCACCTTTTCAAAGCCTCACCATAGCGCGCCAATTTATAAGCGTAGAAACGCCTCCACCCGTCTCAAACAACGACATCTGAGGAGCAAATATAACCCCGACCGAAATAGAAATGCCGTGTAGCATGAAAAAACACATTGGTCAAACACCACAATGCGTACAGCTGTCACAAACCCCTTTAAAATAAGTCCAAGTCTACACCAGTATTGCTTTTATTTGATCCAGCGACAGCAAGGCACAGGAGGGTGCTGAACTCGCTTCGTTTGTGCACGCCAATGACTGCCATTTAATGAGTCGGTGCAGTTAGTAGAATTGAGGATCGTACTAAGGCGCGGAATAATTAAGCTGCTTGCCATGAAGTGGGTGTGACGCATGAGAAAATAGCACGCATTTATTATAATTGAGACCATGTGATTGACAAGGTCAATGGCCGTGTTAGCAACCTTCACTCAAAATAGGCTTTACGTCGAATTCTGTTGCAATAAAGCGCTGTTTATCTGCTCTAGCGCTTAGCTGGGCGTAAACTCGCAGGTCTCCGTAGGATTTTCTCTCTCACCACCACCGCATTCCTGATAATATCGCTACTGCGTATTTAAGACTTCTGTAGCTCATCCGCAAACGTCTGCATATCCCGACAAAACACCGGAGCAGTGAGGTGACGAATGAGTCCTAACAAAAAGCGGTATCGACTAAGAAGTAGGACAATTTAGTTGGAATTCCGTCTAACCTTATTTTTACAACCAAGCAAGTCCCATTTTGCGCATCTGATTTTTATAGAGCAGAGTTGACCTTAACAGCCCATTTGGTATCCACAAGCGCACCTACAACCCAAATCGTCACGACTACAAATAATAAACACAACGCTTGCAAAAAAATCCAGATTTAATACTGCCGACTGTAAATGGAACAGACAACACGACAGAAAGTCCTATTCATATAACTAATCTACAAAATCTAGCAAGTTTAGTGCCAAAGTTATGGTTGACATAAATGCTACTTTACCTCAACAGACTCCAGTTTTCGCCATACGGCCGAAAAGACCGTACTCGGAAGGAGTGAGTCCTCCACAACCACTTGACGAATGAGAGCGGGAGAAAGAGTAGCAGGAGTGCCGACAGTAGTGGTAGTACTAGGGTAGCTGGGAGGAGCGGAGCTCCAAGTGACCATCGATTCGCCTCCGTCACCGCCACCTCCACCATCTATATACTCGACGTCATCGGAGGCCGCAAGAGCACGCGAAATGCGAGCAGTGATTAGGCGCACAAGGGGTTCGAGGAAGAGGCGCGATGCGGGACTTGTCTCGGGTACTGAAACTCCGCTATTGCTGCTATCCCCTCTTTCGCCAATGCTACTAAAATCGGTGTCAGTGGAGCGAAAAGTTGATGCAAGCGCCGCTGCCGCCGCCGACGTCGCATTACCCACGTCTAACTCGACGCGCAAATTTGCCGGTCGGATAACCTTTAGGGCATCTAGCCAATCCATTCGATCCACCTACGAGGAGTGGAGACCGATTTGTGGAAATATGCACCGGCGCACCAACTCATGAGGCCAACGATTTGGGGAAGTATGCTGGCTGGATCGTGACTCAGTATGAAAAAGAAGCCTAAGGAGATGGGTGTGGCTTACCACGAGGTAGTTGAGATCCACAGCTAGTTTACACCTGCTCACGTAGACTTGAGGATATTGACGGCGTAGACAGCAGAGACAGGCCTCAGTAGCCAAAGATTTCAGGTCTGCACCACAAAAGCCCACCGTTTTCTCGGCCATCTCCTGCAGTAGCTTAGGAGAGAAAAGATATTAAGAGCAATTACAGGAGAAAAGTCTAGGGGTATAACAATCTCGCAACTCCTCTAGGAGACTTAAATTGTATAGAAAAGTTTTTTTTTTGGTTCTCTAAGGGGTTGTTTTCAAAATTAACTTCAAAAATAGCATTCTAAGTCCGACAGTCTGCACAAACAGTAAAAACAATGTAAAGGTGAAGAGGTCAAACAGGAGGACGTAGAAATGAGCCAACCGAACCATTCAATTTTAATCATCGGTAAATGGCCTGTTTGATAGCCACTTCGAGGCCAAGACCGCAAGCTTTCGATGATTTGGAAACATGGCGTCGTATTCAGGCCTTCGAAACTCATAAATTTCAATCACATCTCAATGCAAACAGTAAGACTCGGGACACAGGTGACATTAATAAATTGAATAAAATCTTATGAATACATTCAAAGGCGCCAAAACAACGAAACTTTTAGCATATTTTACCCATAATCCACAGGGCTGTGATAGAAAAGCAAAACTTTCTAGTAGATAAAAATGGGAGGCGAGTCCACGGCGTGCATTCGATTAAGCAGTTGTCAAGAGGGCTATCTCTAGATTTGAATTAATCGTATAGCATTGCATGAAGAAAGAAGAACCCTGCATCATTTGCCATTCAACATACTTCAGATGAGGGTAGTGGTCGCAACTTAGAGGTGTGAATTTCCAAAATCCTTCGTCTAACAGCTGCATTTGGGAGGGAAAAAGTGAACTCTCGGTCGAAGCGTCCAGGTCTTCGGAGAGCGGGATCGATGGCGTCAGGCCGATTCGTGGCACCGATCACCACCACCTCTGCCCTACGATCCAATCCGTCCATCAACGCTAGTAGTGTTGACACAATACTGGAGTGAACTTGGTCCTGGACAAAGAATGAACGACAGAAAAAACCGATGTCAGGATATTTGGGTATCGGCCTGAAAAAGGGAAAGGAAGGAAGAAAAAACAAACAATGAAACATTCCAACGACTGTACGCTCAGTAAGGAGAGGAGCGTCTGAGTGCAGTCCACGTAACTACACAGCTATTCAAAACTTGAGTGACTTGAACTCTACAGCGCTGGCATGAAGAGATACGCATGAAACCACCGTCAAAACTTATGAACTTGGAGCTGAAACAAATTTGTCAAATTGTAGGGAACAAGGTGCGTTCACGAACAATTTGACCACAATATTTGGACAGAATTAGTGCCACTGGAATGGAGACAGTAGGAACAGTGAAATAGCAGTCATAGCTCGTCATATTCTAACGTGGATTTCAATCAAATTGAAGATCTATTTATGTAAGACCTTCACACGCACCGCGCAGGAATCAGCCTTGGCGACACTAGGAGACGGATGCTTTAATATGATGATCAAAAAATTACTGGACTGAGATGACTACCAAGGGAATGGGAGGGAGAGGAGAGATGTGATTTGAAAGCATAGCATAATTAGCGTAAGAGACAACCACATTTCCAAAATAAGGCCGTATGATTTACTGATCTAACCTAATACCAAAATTGGGGAAAGCCATCACAGACACTAATTTAAAATCATATTCTAGGCAAGTGAAAATTACTACTACGGGAAATTATAGCATACGATACTTGCTTTCATGCATTGAAATGTGCATTTTAATCGTCCCATGGCTTAGAAGTTACGTAGCCAAAACCCAACTGTGGATTGGGAAATATGGCAGGATACTACTAACCTGGAGTATTGGATGAAGGAGAGCTTGTCATCACACCACAAAAAGCTGTACAAAGGAGAAATCTACCTGTCTAGATGAGCGGACAGGCGCCAAACCATCGAGTTCATCGAAGAAGATTATGGAGGGGCGCAGCCGATAGGCCTGATCAAACAGGAGGCGCAGCTGACGCTCTGTTTCCCCGATCCACTTAGACAAACAGTCAGCGCCCTTGCGCATAAAAAAAGCAATTGGACGAGAGGCGGTGGAGCCACCAGCTTGAGTCTTCGTAGTACCTGAGGTCATACGTGTACACTCAGTGGCTAGAGCGCGAGCAAGTAGCGTCTTTCCAGTGCCTAAGAGAATAAAAAGGTATGCTATTAAATAACCCATCTCGAAATAGTCCGACAGGTTGAAAAGATTGTGTGGTCGTGTTGGTCATAAGTTGGCTATTCTATGTTTCCAGAGTCAAGGAACAGCTCGGTGTTTCGAGATAGCAAGAGAGTAGCAGAAGGGGTGATTGCGTTAGACAATGATAAAATGTATCCTAGCCCTGGTACGTGTAAGGAGAGAGAATGTGTGAAACAACTCACCAGGTGGACCGTGGAAGAGTACGCCACGAGGCGGCTCGATTCCAAACCGATTGAACACCTCCGGATAGACCAAAGGTAGAAGGACAGACTCTTGTAGCGCTCGAATTTGTGCCTGATGCCCACCTACATCGTCAAACGTCACTTCAGTGTCAAAACTCATTGGTTCTAGATCGGGCAGCTTAGCACTGGCTACAAGACGATTGCGAAGTGGACCTGACTGCATCGAGAGAAGAACAAATGTGGGAGGTTGAAGATTAACAAAGAAATTGTTAAGCATAGTAACCAGCCAACCTCAACATCACGAGACTTATAGTTGTAGGGCATGAGACCCCCAGCAGCCTGTTGGAAAAAAGTCTCCTCTAGTTCATCCTGATGCTTTGTGCGCCGCGAACAGTGCGGACGACGGCCACCCGAGGTGTCAATACCCGCCTCAGCATCTCCATAGTTGATGCCATTTGAAAGAGAGGAAGAAGCACTATCGTTGAGGTGAGGGCTGAAGCGTAAAGAAGAGAACACATACAATAAGTATCCACGCAGTGGATAGTGAATACGTTGCATCCGCAGCCTAACTCCTCTACAGCCATTTCGCATGTAATGGACTTAGAGAAATATCAAAAAAATAAGGAGAGTGACCGCGAACAATTATCTTCCTATCAACCCATTTAGAGGCGAATCCTTTGAAAATAAAATAGCGTCTTCGATTGATTGAGGATAAGGTGTTTATCTGTTTAACATAGAAAATAAAAGGCACTGCTAGTAACAAATTACTAAAAAGTGAAAGGCGTGTCAAAAAGCCTTTTGGGGAATTGTGCGCCTCCGATGCATTTAAAAACTATTAATCCGTAGTAAATAGCACTCAATCGCTCGGTAACTTCCGCGAATCTCGCTTCTCAGTTGATACAGTCGTCTGGTTAGTCCTCACGCCACACAGTATTGGTAATATTAAAAAATCAGGCACACAATGAGAAAAAGTAAACTCACTAGTTATCACTACAACGAGGCCGCTTTGAGCCCACCCTATAGGATACTTCCATGAGCCAGTTCCTTTGATTAGCCTCGGTTTCTTTAATTTTTGGAATGACTAGAAAGAAAAAATGCTATTGCACCCGATTATATGATAAATTGAGGAGAAACATCCGCGTACTACCTTGATAAACGTCAGGATGACGCCGATTACGGAGAGGGTATCGACGACCGTCTGGCGTTTCATCCTCCTCTGTCGTATCCTCGACATCTTCGATGATTCTGTTGCATCTTTTGCGTTCCAGACTCTTTGATAGACCCTTACAAGGACCACGTTTCACCTGGACAGACAATGGTAAGTAAAAGACAAATAGGCGATTCGTGAATACCTTAAGGGAATAAGAGGCAGGCGCCACCGTGGAACCTCGCGGACGAAGACGCGGGAGAAAGCCCAAGCTACTATTAACGTTAGTGGTTCCACTATCTCCCGAAGATATGTTTGGATGGTTACTTCTTTTCGTTTTGTTTGCGCCCTGCGACAATTCTGGATCAGCTGTCGCAGTCAAACACAAGGAGTTGAATACAGGAAATTCGACGAGAATCAAAGTAGCAAGTGCTTACACAAATCTGAAGCATTCCTCCTCAACGCCCGCGCATTGCATTTATTTATATTCGTAGTCTTTGACGATTGTTTCCTGTTTGACATAGTAGCGCCTTTGATATCCGCACCAATTTGTCGACCCATATTCTTATTAACTGAAGAGCTACTTAAATTCATATCTAAGTGATTGAACTAAACGAAAAAAATGACTGAATGGGAGAAACGAATACTTTGTTCCTAAGAGAGTAATGAGATAGGGCACTTGGGGAAGAGGCATCAACACGTGACCGAAATTTTAAACGGCGGCAGCATCGAGAGCGATCTGCAGATGAGTTTGGACACTAAAAAAGAAAGCTAGAGTGCAAAATGGCTAAAATGACTATAGTATGGTTTAAGGACAAAATTTGCAAGTAATTGCACAGTAGCGTGCCCATAACTATGGACAGTCTTACACGCGGAAAACGAGCCAAAACGGGTTGCAACTTTCACTATAGTAAACCATGTAAAAAATTTTGTGGGGATTTACCATAATCGTTTAATGGCGCAGAAGAATGCAAAATGCCCTACAACAAGTGGCACTGAGGCAAAACATTGCTAGACAGCAAAAGCACAGCATCGACGTACCATTTCATTCGGTCATTCTTTAGAACCCCGATATCGAATTCGCAATAGAATGTTGTAAACTAATATTTGCAAAAGGTATTTAAACAAACTAGCTGAGCCGCATCTGACCCATAACGCACAAGCGAATAGGAGTGCAAGAAGTGAGCGCCATAGTCAATAAGCAAATAAACGAACTTATTTATATTTGCTACATCACATCGGAATCCATGATAAAGAGCAATATTTGAATATTGACACACCTCATAGCTAAATATTTGGAGGTTCTCTCTAATCCTATTGCTGGAACCGCACAATTTTATAGGTGCAACTCAATATTCGGCAAAACTCTAGCACCTTAACTCGAAAACTTTGCAGATACTGAAAGACATCAAGCATATGACATGACTTCAAGAGACCTTATTACGTCTTGCTTATATAACTACCCTAATAAGCGGCGGGCGCTTTGATTTCGCTCCGTTCCTGCGGTGTGGGGTTGGTCCTGGGTTCACGTCAAATCTCTGTCTTTCTCGCTTCTCCTTGAATGCGCGGGTTCAGACCTGCTTGAAGTCCTTTTATTCCGAGTGGAATGCCTTGGAATGCTGTATAGTAGCAACAGTGTGGTCTTCTCGCCTGTGTTCACACCGTAGAAATTTGGCACAAATTGGGGAAACCAGAGTTGAGGTCGTAATGTAGTCTCGGGATTTTGCATTTGGTGGGAGAAGGAAGTTATAAGGTTAGTTGCGTATGTTCAAGAAGGAGGGGAATAAGTTGTGCTCCTTTGTGGAAGCTTAGTTTATTTCATTCCGTTCTTTTCGCTTGTCGATTACGTCGGAGCTGATCGGCATGACTCCTATTTGGATATGCTCACTAGAACGAAATGATACTGATACGAAATGCAGTAGTATCGGGCGGTCAGGCTTTCCGACGTCATTTGAAATCGCCTCATGGAACATTTATCCTGTTCTTGTCTTTGGACTCAGGCACTTTGCTTGTCCTCACTTATCCTGGTAGCCTATTTTGAGCTCTTCATTACTCCCTTTGGGTCGTTATATCCTCTACCGGTCATGCCAAATCGAGTCGCCAAGGGCATGGAATGTCTTCACATTTGGAAAGCAGTTCAAATCTCCTATTGAGGGTTCGATTGTTTAGTTCGGGTCGTGGATTGATCCTATTCTGATCATATCTTTATTATAATTGATAGAAGGCGCCTTTGATCGCGTTGCTATTACCGTCAAACTCTTCTCGTAAGATCTGTCGCATTAATGAAGCCATGCCACTACGAAAATCTCCAAAGCTCACAGGAAGATCGCGAATTTGCTACGTGGAACAGTCTCCAACGGATTTCAGCAATGCTTCAACTCATCGTACTCCCAGTCTGCCATTGCCATCCTCTTCCTTTTGAGGATCATATAAGAGCTCTGAAGGAGTTTCTAGGCTTGTTGGGGTAGTGTTAATGAGACCGATGCCTCTCTCCCACTCTTGAAAACTTACCTTCGTGGTGTTTCATCAAAAATGTACTTCATATACGTCTGGCAATCAATTCACGTTAGTAGGAAGCCGTGAAGGACAGTTAAGGAAAGTTTCTTTCGGGATGTCGGCGATGACATAATGCTTAATTGCCTACCTTGCGGAACTGTGTTCGAGTCCTGGTTCCCTGTTACGTACCCATTTTCGACCAGACACAGATGACGGTCAGTGGAAGTATGCGCCCTGATTCATACTTTTGGACCAGACGTCGCTCCAGATCTGGCTGAGGCTGGTTGGAAGGTCAAGTACAATCTTGTCTCATTGTCTGATGACTGGTGCGGCCGGCCTGATGGTGTTTCTTTGCAGGATCAGACGTGTTGCGATGGCTGGCCTGGAAGGTGTAACGGACGGAGTGTCCGAGGTGCGGCTCGAGGGAAAAGACCGACAATTAAGGAATCTGCTTATTGCACTACCTGCATGACTGACCTTTACTTTGTTATTTATCTTGTCCTTACGCGACTGGGCTGGCCCGTTCCCTTTCCTTCCCCCTGAATGCATGTATTTAAATCTTATTAGTACCTTTTTTACCAATTTGGAATTCTCAGAATGTTACAGATTCCTCTGGAAATTACTTTGGCTTTATTATGGCATCACTGAATTCCAGACGAGAGACTTCGGTCAGTACCTGCCTAGCATTTGCTTTGCTTACCGCCAATATGGCACCTTTCTGTGGTGTGTGGATGGGGAAGGAGGTAGGGAAATGCACCGCAGGAGGAATAGGCAAAACTTTATTTCCTTTGAACGGCACGAATCTTTAAGAAGAGGGACTCATAGTAGCAAGGATATCGTTCCTTTATCGAGAAAACATCAAAAGCACCCATGACGAATATGATGTTCCTTTTCTTGTGACATCCTCACCGGCCCTATGCTTCTTTTCACTCGTGAATCCAGCAGTAGATAGAAGTACTGCAGGAAATCTGTGCAAGATTGATTCGCATTTTGTTTAGTATTTGTCAAGGTCTTGCTTAAAAGTGGACTCTTAGTTACTTTGACCAGTTTTAATCAAATCCCCACAATGCCTGATTATTTGACAGCACTCTTTTGCTGGTAAACTCTGGATTAAAATTCGCACTAACTTACTAAATGTTCCCCTCCTCAAAGCAGAAAAGAATCTTGGGGTGTTAGCAGAGTGTGCATAACTTTCACTGATTATTCAGGAGTTATGTTCGCAGCTTCCTGAGACCTCCCCTTAGGTAACTAGAGGCCTTCAGCTTGAATGACCACCTCTTTTCAGCCGAACAGGATGGAAGTTGAGCTTTGATGTGGTCTGAAGCAGGATGAGACTAGTCCTCCCGAGAGAGAGAGTCGAATAAACAAAGCAGAGCTACATTCTCTAACTTTCTGATTTAAATGTCAAAGCCGTAGGTGAGGTGCTACACTTTGTCCCATTGCTTCTGAAATTCCACTCCTTTAAGTCTTATTTTATCAGTTGTCGGATGCAGATATGAATTTCAAAGGGTGGTTTAGCTAGCTCATAAACCTAAACGTGAGTATTTTGCCTGTGTCGTTTTTACCACTCTGTTACCCAGGTCCTTCACCTGAGTTTTCATGAGGGAGGGTAGGTTGCCTCGAGAAGGCTTATTTTGCATCCACAGAATGAATATAAGGTATAGGAGTATCCATACTAGCCATGAAAACATCTCCGCACGTCTCCAACACGAACTTCCACCGACGTCCCCACATATGGCAATTTAAACAACCAATACGTATTACAAGCTGTTCATCACCTCTGATTTTCAGTAAATTGTTTCTTTTTGCAATGCAATTTGTGAAATAAACGGTTCTAACCTTGCTGAATATACCGACCCACATTAGTGGAGGATGACTGCAATGCAGATAGAGGGTTTGATGCATTGAAAAGGGATAAAGAGAAGAGCAAAGTCAACATATCCAAGCACTGCAAAATACGTTGAAAGTTAGCCCTGGACATCGGCAAGTGCTTCACCACTACCCCATTACCTCAATATCTGGCTGTCATGGTGCTTTGGTCCTGCAAGCCGGCCTTCAAGCCAAGTCAAGTTTCAATAATTTACCTTTCCCTCAATTTTTTGTTGAATCAAACCTAAATCCATGTGTAATACAATTGCCGATGTTACACAATTGAGTCAAAAGGTAACATGCAACATAGTTAACTAGGTAGTTGGATAGGTCAAAGCTCAACGCCGTTTTTCCTCCCAGAATACATGCATTCCGTCCAAATTAAATCCTTCCCCTGTACAGTGAGAAGTTTTGGTGCAAAACAATATTGTTCATAAACTGCAGCAGAGTCAATACAAAGTTTGTGTTTCCTGGACTAATTTGAAGACTTCCCAAAGTGCTACTGCTATTTTTCCATGCACACTGCATTAAACACCAAATAAAACGTTCCAACGCAAACATTCTCATATGAAAACTTAGGTTTCCGAGCCTGAGAGTAAGGCGATGGACGCTACATAACGGAGTACTGTAACTATTTTCCCAAAATGCAACATAATGATGGTTAAAAGTCAGTTGCTGATGCTCCCGAAACACATATGCGTTGTTGCTGTGTTGTGTAGGTCAAAGAATTAAAGAGGAATTGAACTAATTATAATCAGATAAAATTTCTGACAGTCACCTAACAAGCTGAGACTAGTATGAGGCTCTAACCTATAATTTCAGCTCTGCTATATCACAGTAAAATATTCCTTTGGATTGCATCGTATCAACACAATCTCACTGATTTTTCGGATCTGTGTGATAGCATACCTTAACGTTCGTCAATTACTAGAGCTTCAATTAATTTTACTTGGAAGCTTCATCGTTCTGATTAAATTCCGACCATGCCATAAAGCATCCTATAAAGGAAAGACATTTTAATTTTTGAGCTCTCAAAGGGATAGGAATTATCTTTCAGTTAAATGATACATTCCTCTCGCTAGATTATACTAATCTCGTTTTAACTATGATTTGAGTCAACTAGTCATCTTGGCGGTCTTTTGTTTTCATTGTCACATGTTTGTTACGGTTCATGGGCACGCGTCATAGAAGCGAAAATACATTTCATGTAAGGTGTCTTGCTTGAGTCTTCTATTGTTTTTGCAGTTTCTCACATACAAGGAGAAAATAAAGCAGAAGGTCCGCCTTTCGTATCGGCGTAATGACTACGTCGACGATGTACGTTGCTTAGTACACTACATGGTAGTTTAGGAGGCATTGGACAGCTTTTTCGCTACGACTCTGGAAAACTGGACACATTTAAACAAAAGCTGTGCTTTTTGTAATTATTTTTGCTACAATTATCTTCTTTAGCTGAATTTAGAAGGCTTATTTCCCCCTACGTGCTGAATTTGAAGTTAGTCTTGCTACACAAGGTAAGGCTTTTTATTGTTTACAGTTCTCCCATTAGGACGCGATTCTCAGTCATCTACACGATTTTATTCTTGAATGCAATGAAGTTTCTTCGGCCCCGATCCTCGAGTAATTTTACGTCTACCTTTATTATGATTTTTAGCCTTCTTAGCGCACTTTCCTGTGACTTGCGCGGCGATTTTTACCCCTATTTTCCAAAGTTCTTTACTATAATCAAAGATATCATCACTAAAGACCAACAGGATGCTGATGTACTTAACTACGCCTTTAATTGCCTTTCGCATCTTGTCTACTTTCTTCACCGGTACCTCACGAAAGATGTCAACGATTTCTTGAAGTAAGCATTTTTCAGTCTGATTTCTGGCTAGGTTATTTTTGCCCCTCCTTACCCACAAGAAGGAGTTTATTCGATCATTCAGTGCTGGCTGCATGGCTTTCGTTTTGCGAAAGATTCCTGCTTCACATTTGTTACTTCTCTTGTGGCAGCTTAACCAGGAATATGAAGCTGTTTCCTGCGAAACAGGCGGAGCTTTGCTTGCGGAGATCTTGCGTTCTCCGGATGGATGCTTTCACTCTTCTTCCATAGAGGTTTGTGATTCAGGCTTGTCCAAAACGTATCGTTCAGATTTTTCCTACCATCTTTGCAATCATTGCGGGTGCAGATGTTCAGGAACATATTCCAGCTTCCTGTCTTCAAGCCAAAATTCCCAGAAACGGTTCGCAATTCGAAAATTTAAGTTCTATAGCTACCTCGTTAGAAGCTGCTGAGTTCTTCAAAGGATGCTTAGTGTCTTCTCTCAAAGTTCTTGCTGACAGCAAAATGCAACCTGAAGCCCTATTTACGATATGCAAACTCGCATTTTCTCAGTTTGGTAAAGTTTGCTCTTCTCGGGTTCAAATACTCATATCATGCAGCGGTGAGCTCGTCGGTTTGCTTCAAACCATGCGTTTTCTTCACCGCTATGAAGCTGCGTTGGAGGTGCTTCTGTTGGATGCTTTTGCTAGGCATCCGATAGTTCCCTTGGCAGAGCTTATCATCACATTTGTCGGACTGGCCTCCAGCCAGTTTAACTCTTCTCGTCTAATGCGGAAGGTCCTTATGGCCTCAGGCTTCACCGATTCACAGCAGATATCCCTCATGCTCTCGATCATTCGCCACAATTCCTTTGAAAGGGACTTTCTTCAAATCCTTGCCGATGTGCTTCTTGGACGCGACACTACTACACCTGTCGATGATTCCACACTTGAATACCTTGCTCGCCTTGTCATTGTTCGTCAACCACCTCCACTACTCACCTCCGATTTATCGATTGTCCGGCCACCGAGTAGTACAATCTGCCTCTCATTGAGTTCCGGCTGCCAAAGCTCGGACGTTTTGCGAGTTGCCCGTTGGATCATTGAGCCGATCACTGATTTGCATGCTGAAGTCAAACGAAAATTCTATGCTACACTTTGTTTGCCTCATTTGAGGTTTGTTTACTTCATATGCTTACCCGGCTCCCTTATTGTAGTCCTGTTCCTGTCGTAGATGTTCTCTCTCAACTGATGGAAGCGATTGAATATTCTTTTGATCGTATGAAGCAAATGCAACCAGAGATGTTTGAATTCATGGATTGGGCGGCTTATTTGTTGGCATCCTACGAAGCCTGGTATTCGTTCGGCGGTACGACGTCCGTCAAGTCGATTCACTTCATAGATGAAGAGTATCTTTTGCAAACGGCCCTGTAAGTCATCATATCTAGACCTTTACTCACTGCTTTAAAATTCCTTATCTCCAGTTTTTAATCTAAGTGCCGTGAAGGAGAAGAATGTGGATTTATGCACGATTCTTCTTCGTATTCTTGATATGACGAGTGAAGTGTTGGGGCTAAGTGTCGCTTCGGTTGAAGAGTTTCTTCCTTTCCTACTCTCTTTTAGTCATCAGGTAGGTCGAGTTTCGTTGTATCTGGGGTTTGAAAGTAAAGTTGTAATAAGTAATCGTAGATCCGTTGGATGTCTTTTTTTAATATGATGGTTTTCTGTACATAGGTACGTTTGCACAGCCTTCGAATTATTCGCCGCCAGTTAGCGGTGCTCTCATCAAAAGATGCCACATCAGAGGATCTGTCAAGTGTTAAAACGTCAGTTGAGCGTTGTTTGAGTGCCGAAACCACAAAAAAGACACCCGGTGGTCTTCGCGAATTCCTCCTCCTTGTTCTTCACATGCATTGCGGTCGTAGCACCATTTTCGGATCGCCTTTGGCAGCTAAGGTAAGTTTCTCCTCTTGCTGCTTTACTTTTACAACATGCCTAACATTTTTTATTGTGTTTAAAGATTTCATTGCACCATCTGTTGGGTCTACTGCACGTCAACTTAACCCCCGCATGGGACGATTTAACCGCTGCGGTGGCCAGTTACGCCAACCCTATCTTCTACTCTGAAGCCGCTGACTCCGCTGTTCAACCCGATGTCCGACGTCAGAAGCAGAGCCGTAGTAAGGTGCGTGCCCGCTCTCGCTCGCCCCTTGTCCATGAGACGGAAGGGGAAGAGACGGAGGAGTCTAAGTCTTCCGAGGTGTTCGAGCAATGGAGAATGCAGTGTCGTGACCTATTCTGGCGGGTTATGGTCGATTTACTCAAGCGTCCAGTTACCGATGTGCAATCTCTCACACCGTGTGCATTAGGTATAACTCGAAAAAAGAACTATTTGCGATGAGTTTGCAGGGCTGTGTTCATACCTTTCTCCTTTTTTCAGTCCCAAAGATAACCATTGATAGTTTATCCGTGATGCAAGCCTTCACAAGCCTTCTTACCGTAGTTCCCGACAACGACGTAGGCAACGTTTCTGATTCTAGTGGCGGCTTGGCACCTGTAACGTTTGCACCACGCAGGATGGAGGATTGGAAGAACTACCGATTAAATCTTTGGCGCTGCATTACGCCGAAGGGGGTGGGTAAATATGCTCGCACACTGATGCCGCTCTTCCTTTCCTTTGTCAGGTAAGTTATGCCAATAATCCTTTCCATTCTGCTTAATCTTATGCGTCAAAGATGATGCATTTGTGGTCAAGGCGTTCCGAAGTATATCTTGTGGTTAGTATATTGTATAATTTACTGGATTACACTGATCTTTACTATGTCCTGTCGTACAGCGCTCTGTGGCATTGGATCAGGTGAAATTGGGCTTCACATCACGCATATAATATTATGAAAATGCGACGTCTTGAAGGGGTGGTGGCCTTTTTTGCTCTATTGGTTAAGCCGATCTCGGTTCACTGGTTTTTAGGGACTAAAGTGGTAATGTGAGTTTAGCATTGAGTCTGCGTTCGTAATCGTCTGTCAACCTTTGTTTCTAACAGCGAGGAGTTTTATGCAACACCGAGCCAAAACAATGAACGTATTCTTATATGCGCTCTCGACCTCTTTTCTCGGATGCCGAACCTCCACTCTGTTTACAAGCATCAAGAATTTGGGGTCACTTTACTGCGGGTGAGTCTGTCTGTGCGTTCATGATACTTTATCATTGGAAGCGGTTCTCTATGGGTAAGCGATTTAGCTATTTATTCACCTCTCAACTTATAGTTACTTACCAACAAACGACCCTCTGTTCAAAAAGCAGCATTCACTTGTTGGATGTCATTTGCACCCTCGGGGCTGCGACCATACGCGTAAGTTGTCTTGAGTCTTCATTTTCTTCCCTTACTATCCATCTCTGATAACGCCCCATTTGCCTCTCAGAGAGCATTTTGAGAAGATCCTAAATCTACGTACCTTCCGCGACGCTGTCCGCGTCTTCAAAATTGACACTTCCGTAGTCTCAGAGCATCGTTCTGCTGTCTCTCGCGTTCTAATCCGGTAATCTTCCACTCCCAGGCAAAGAATCTCACAGCTGCAAAAGTGTTTGCATTCGCATTGTTTTATTTTGTGACATAGGATTCTTTACGGTCGCCTGCACCTCTCAAAGGAAAACTTCGCATCTGCCGTCTTCACTAACCTTGCAGGGTGTTCGGAGGAGGAGTTGAATCTCCTCCTCTCCCTTATCGTTGAATCGTTCTTCTCCGCTCTAGCCATTCAAGACTCTTCGAACGATTTAACCTTTGCTGAAATAAACGCGCGTGCCAAACCGAATTGGAGCCGCCTTCAAGCGTGAGTTATTTCCTCTGATAACTGTGCGAGATCTGCGTATCGGAAGGACAGCTCAAAAATGTGCTGGAAAATTACTCGAATAGGTGAATTGGGTTAAATCTCACGAGCTTGTGTGATGTGACATAGGAGAGACTAAATATCTCGCTGTGGTCACTCCTTGGAATTGGCATATATGGCAGTATCATAGTGGAGTAGGAAGAGGTTCCACTCTTTTTGAGTAAATATGACCGCGCTTCGAAATGTGCGTATCGTTAATTTACTTAAATGTTCTTAGGATTTGCCATGTGGTCAGTCAGCTTCTTTCCTACATGGGCCATCGTTTGGGTGGCATTAAACCGCCTTCAGAGGACCAGACACAAGCAGACGTCACCAAAGCTTCCCCTCATCTCCCGACCATCTTTAAAATTGCCATCCTAATGATTTCCACGTCTTCCAATAAGGATAAAAAACAGCTGCAGCAAGGTCCACATCAACCACACTCAAAGCAAGTTAAGGTTGTTAGTAGAACGGGCGTCAGTCTTCTCCTCCACCTCTTCTCTGCACCCGGAATCGATTTGGATGCCTTCTGGACGGCTGAAAGAATTGCATGCGTGCAAACAGAGGTATTAGCCAAACATCGTCTCACCTCTTCTGCCGTAGCTTCACCTGGCCATCTAACACTTAAGCTAGCCTTGGTTTGGAGTCAGTCGGGCAGCGAGCACCTTGTCAGCGCTCTGTTTACTCCCGACCTTCTCAATGCTATTGTGCAACTGTTGCAGCACAAGAACCTCTCCACTCCGGTCGCTAGGGTGATTGTTGAGGTGATGATTAACCTCATATTCTCTCAAGGTTCGCAGTTGCCTCCTTCTTTGATCTAATTTGAAGGTTTAAGGTTGCTAACACATTCGATGCCATTTTGCTGTAGATATTCAGGAGTTGGGCCGTCGGCTCCTGAGACCTTTTCATGGAGGACTGACTGAGTATCTTTACAATCGATTCTTGACTTTGCGTTCGCTCTCGTCGTCACAGGCTCGAAAGACACTCAATTCCACGGAATCGGAGTGGCTTCAACGTGAATTTAAACTTTTAGCCTACCTAACTGTCCCGCCTGCGATGCAAAATGGTTCTGAAGAGGTACGCTCATTCTTTCCTTTCACTACAGTGCACTTAACCTGCTTATTTCTCTGATTGAAGAGAATGAAATGGAACGCATGCATAGATTAACGCCTGTTTTAACTTAGGCTCTGCTATATATTTTTGCTTCTCTGTGCATACCTTACAGACACCATCAATGTTATCATCCAAGCAAGCAAGTCGTCTTCTCACCGGTCTTGTACCTTTCCTGGTAAAAGCTCTCACTCGCCCCCCTTCTCAAATCGGTAGCGGCATCAGTCTCCTTTCCAATGCAATGCGGCGGGGGTCCAAAAGCAAGTCTTCTGGCATGACCGATGTAGCCGTTCAACTGCCTCGTCCACGTCCTGCCTCTGAGGCGGCTGTTGTTGCTAAGGAGATCGCAGAGGTGGAAATGTTGCGAGTACTCTGTCGCCTTATGGAAATCACCGCTGACATAAACCTACATTTTGGGTGCGTGTTGTTACAGCATTTTTTTGTGTCGATGGAGAGGTCTGCGAAAAATTTGTGCAATGTTTGTCTTTCCTTTTTAGCAAAGTGTTGGAGTTATTCTCCATTGTGGATTCTCGAATTTCACGAGCTCTGCTCTGTAGTGCTGCAGGTGTAGCCGCCGCGCGAATAGCTCAATCACTGTCCACTTCGATGCTACCAAAGCAGCTTCTAGCATGTCTTGCAGACGTTTATGTTGTGAAACAAAATATGGCTAGTCAAATGTCTGCGAACCTTTTCAACGCTCTCCGCACCATTCGCAGTCAGCAAGTGGATCCGAGCTCAGTATCTCCGGGTGCCTCATTTGAGAAAAATGTCCTTTACAAGCTTCTTTGCATGGTATGACATCTTTTTCGCGTCTTTTCAAATATTACGCATTAATTTCTATCCTTCATAGTTGAACTCCTGGAGCACCAGTCGTTTGGAAATGGTGGACGCTGTTCAGCGCGAATCCGCTTTGAACGCTCTTCTGGGACTGTGCGATCTTCCTTTGGAAAAGTTTGCTTCACAAGACCGGTTGCATTACTTCATTCATCTTGCCGGTGTCCACAGTGCTCTCTACACTCTCCAAACATCAGAAATTCAGCTCAGAGATCTTGCACTCGACTATATCTTTCGACTTGCCGAGGTTCTCTCAGATGGCATTCGTTCCGCAAACGATGCTACTAAAAAGGCTTATCAACAACTCACTAAAAGGCTTATTATTCAGAGTCTTTGGCCGGGTGAGAAGTGAAGTCCTTCATTCATCCTCGGTTCACCCATCCACGAAACCATTTAAATGTGTCTTGTGTTTTATAGGACTTGTCCGAAACCTAAAGCGCGCTACGGGTCCGCGACGTATTCACTTTCTCCGTCTTCTCACGGGATTGGTGAAGTCTTTCGGCTCGTCACATGCCTTTTTTGCTCCCCTATCGCTTCTGGCGGACTCAACCTCGTCAGATCAGGAACCTGTCTGCTTCTACGTTAATATTCAGAGTGGTACCTCGTCACGTCAGCTATTCGCTATTCGTCGTCTCGCCCTCTTCCTAAGCAATCCCCTTACCATCGCCTCAAAGAAGGCCATTACCAACTGCTCTACTCGCAGTAGCGGCGAAGACTCGTTTGTTATTCCTCTCTCTCACCTTCGAGGAGTCTTTTTACCCATTCTCCTCTTCTTTCTACGTCAGGAAATGATGGCAGAACTTTCTGGAGCTGGCAGTCTCGGCCAGGAGTCGAGACAACTCGTTTCGGCCTGTCTAAATGCTGTGCGAGCGCTCGCATCCCGCATGGCCTGGCCCCCATACCGGGAACTTCTCTCTGCTGCCCTCTCTAACCTAGACCAAGAGTCCACCATCGCATTAAGGTACACGTTGGCCATCCTGGACGGTTACCGCCCTCACGAAGAGGCTGTGGACTTTATGCTTGCAGTAGTTGGACGCCTTCAAACCTACATTATCCCGCCAACGCACAAAACGGAGTCACAACCCAAATCCTTCACCTACCTACGCACAAATGCTATAGTCGCTCTCGTCACCCTCTTACGGCGTCTCCCAAAAGGGCAATTAGAGTCCCGGCTGCCCACTCTTGTTCTTCGAGTAGTTGATCTCCTTCGTCCGGCTAAGAAACTCCCTTCCCATGCTCGTCTGGAGGCCGTTCAAGCTCTCTCCAAAGTCGCTATCATGGTCGGCTCTGGTCCAGCGTTGGATTCAATCTTCTCGACTTTAGCGAGAGAACTTTCACGAGGGTACATGGCAATGACTATTCGGTTAGCAGCATTGCATCGGATTTTCTTTGATTACACTGCTGCAATGGACAGGGGTGAGGTGGCAGTGGCAGACAATTTGGATAACGTTTGTCACGTCCTTCTGCGCCTCTATCTTGACGAGGTTGCGGGTCAACTGGGAGAAGAGATCGATTCACGACGTGAAGCATTTCACAAGGGATCCACGACGGATGCCACCTTAGGAGTAACTACTATTGCTTCGTCAGCTGACCTACCTGAAGCTCGTGGCGGTCTCAGAGCTCCTGATGGTCTGCCTGCACTTCTGCGTTTTTGTTCTCCCACTATGCTGGAGCGGGTTTTTAAGGAACTCAAAACTGCTGCCGCTTTGATTGCTTCAGGACGAATAATTTCCAACGAAAACCTACAGCAAGGGGGTGAACAGTTGGGTGAGTTGTGGTTCGATAGAAATGAGCGTTTTTTTAAGTATTCATAAAAAACACTTGATAATTGATTTATTTCAGATGACGTTAAGTCAGATGATAAATTGACGGGCCAGCTGCGTTTTCGCAAACGGTGTATGGCTCGTCTCCAAGCCGTTTTTGATCGAATTCCTACTCGGCATGGTATTTTCCATCCTAAGTTGTCTACATGTGCATCAACATTGATGGGAATAGCCCTCTCTCTCATGCCTTCTGCGGCGATCAAATCAGAGGATCAACCGCAGTCAACAATTAAGCGCGGTATTGCAGCTCTCTATCGTCCAGGTTGGAGTATATCGAGCACTCAACCACTGGAGAAACGACCCGACTACCTCTCCATTCCTCCCGAACCAAAACTTGCATCACAGAACCCACATGCCACTCAGACGGATCAGGCTCATGTGAACATGCTATCTGCATGTGGCTTGTATACTATAATTGGCTTGGTTAGGCAAGGCATCCTCCTGCCTACAACTCGTTCTGAAGATGCTGCTATCCTCTCCGATGCGATTCCAGCTCTGTTGTCCACTCTCGTTACCTCGAAGAGTCTTGTTGTGCTTGCAGGTGCAGTGCGTTGCACAAAGCTTTTCCTCCATCTTCAGCTGGACCGTTTCGAGGCTGTCCTACCGGAAGTGGCTCGATCTCTTTTTAGTTTGGTTGACAAGCACGCAGGTGTGCTGAACTCGCGGATTACTGCGAAGGATAGCGCGGCGCAGTCATTTGCTCACGGACTTTACGCGACTCTGGCAGCGTTGATCCAACATCAGGCAAAGTACACCCTCTCTAACGCTCAACTAGCTATCCTCTTCAGTACCATTGAAACTGAAGTGACTCGTGATGCCCCTACTTCCCCTGCTCTATCTCTTCTCTATGCCTTCCTCACTCGTCGATTACGTGATCCGCTGGCGAATACAGATGAAGATGAGAGTAGATTTGTCCCTCTCCGTTCTGAGGAGGAGTCTTCTCTTTCCAAAAATACGGACAACATTATAACCGGTGGTTTGGTCGTTAGTAAAGTCACTGACAACGATTTCTCCTTCGCCGGAGCCGGTGGTGGTCAGCGGCTCTCCACTCTGATGCTGCGTTTGCAGCGACTGGCCATAATGTCGTCCAGCGAGACTGTACGTCGGGATTGTCGTCGGTGTCTCCTCGCCTTCCTCCTTAACTACCCCCATCAACGGCGCTTCGTGATGGGATTTATCAATTTCTTCTTACGTCAGCTGGAACACGCACGAGAGTTGGGTCGTGCTTCGGTGGCAACACTTCTTTGCACGATTGTGGCTGAGTTACCACAGGGAAGTTTGTTGCAGGATGGTTTGGATGAAACCCTGCTATTAGCTGTAGGTGCTGCGATCGAAAGGGAAGTCTCAGTCAGTGTGCGCTTGTCACTGTACGGGTTGATCCGTCTTCTGTTCACTCGACTTCCGGGCAAACAGGCCACTAATCACTTCCAAGAATACCTTCTTGCGTTTCTGCGTGCTCCAGTGGAATCGAGGGCTTCTGCAAAGCTTCTTGGGTTGCAGGTAAGGGTTTGGTAGTATCTAAGTTACCAAAAATCACTTAGTGCACTATAGAGGTTACTTTGCAAGGACATGTTCGTTTCTAGACGGTAGCAATAGTTCTGGACTCTCAGGAGTGCCTCTCGATTGACACGCACCGAAGGACCCTCATCAAAATCCTTGGAAAAGATATTTTCGCCGAGTTGCGTAAACAATTAATCATTCTTCGCACCACTCATCCTCACCTCTTCAGGGACGTGGTTTCTGTGTCGGGATGTAATGAGGATAATGCTTTGCTTCCACCACAGCGTTAGTTTCCACTGCTTTGAATCTACGAAAATGAAATTGGGTTTCGTTAAAATCTGCGTTGTCTTTGTATCTTTTAGCTGCGGCTGAGGAAGAAAATAAAGAAGATGAAGGTGAATGGCTTAACGCTACAGACGTGGATAAAGACGTCGAAGTGGCACCTTTAGAAAATCGCGCTGATGAGGACGACGAAGATGAGGTAGAAGACTTGGGTATGGAAGTTGTTTCAAACGAAGTTACCTCTGATGTGGAGGAAGGCAAGGAGGAAGAAGCAGAAAATTTGGATGTTGAGATAGAACCGAGTAAATCTGAAAAGGCTTCTGCCGAGGCTGTGAAAGTCGTCGAGTCTTGCATTGCTGTCAAAACTGCGGACGAAGCTTCAGAGCTCATTATCAAACCCTCTAAATCAGCTCCTGACTTGCACTTTTCATTGGTCTGTTGTAGCCTAGAGCAAGGGCTTCGGCTAGCAGACCGTCTACTTTCCGATGTTGATGATAGTGTCATCACATCGTCTTTATGTGCGCCCATCTGGGATGCACTGTTGAAGGTTGAGCGGAAGAAAAGAAGCCAGCGTGAAATGAAGTTTGCTACGTTGCTTCAGACCTCCAAGACAGACGATGAGGGAGAAGTGGTCTCACATTCACTTCTTCTTGCGCCCTCTCTGTCTGTGCGCGAATGGGTCTCTCGGCTAATCAACCGGCTCCTTCGAGCTGAACTAGATAACACTTGTAATGCTCGGGGTGAAGTGGCAACACCTCCAAAATTTGAGTCACCCTTCTTTACAAATTCCAAAAACGTTTGTTCTCGGGTATGTCCTATGCAAGTGGACTTGCTTTTGTGCATGTTAAGTGCTAAGTTTTGCTGATACAATCATATTCTTTGGTGTCTTAGTTAATTGGAATTTTGAACGACTCTCTGCACCAATTGGAGATTGATTCACTCTCAGGTAAAATGTCAGAAGAATATTCAAATATGGTGAGCATTTCTCGCTTTCATCTAATCACGATTTAAGCCATTCTGACGCATGTTGATGTCCTCTTTTGTGCTTGCAGCTTTTGTCCAACTTAATATATCTCGGCCAGTTCTTGAACGCTCTCAATGAGACAAAACACGTTCTTAAGATATTCAAGACTGCAAATCGACTCTCACTCGATGAACTGAACAATAGACGATCCACATTCTGTCAGGTGGTTAATCCCAAGTGCCACTAAAATGCCTATGCAAATATGGTCCATACGTATACATTTGTTTATTGTAGAGGATAATGGCGCTCAAGTTGACCGTCGGGTTGTTGCTCAAACTACCAAGACCCAGTCCGGCAGAAATCGCGACTCTTATTGCAAAGCGAAGGAGTCGACAGGAGGAAGAAGGTGAGGATGTGGAAAAAACAAACAACAGTAGGTCAAACGTTGGGATCGTCTACCTACGCAGCGCGTTACGTCTTCTTGCTCGAGAATCGAAACAGCGCGATCGACTGGCTTTCCTAGCCACCGCTAGCATTGCTATGCCCGGTGACGTGGAGCCGTCTGAGGGTGCCGCCATTTCCCGCAGGTTAGCTGGTCGTCTTGGTAGCTTGGAATCAGCGCGGGCACGGTCACGACGCCGCAGAGCGCAGGCGAAGATGCGGCGAGCCCTGCTCTCGGGTGAATTGACTGCTCAAGAAGCAGCCCAACGGCTAGCCAATATCTCGGTGGTGGAGGTGTCCGCGGCAGACCACCTCATTGAACTGATTGAATCTACACACACGCGACTGACCAAGGAATTATTGAATGATGTTGGAGGCGGAAAAGTGGCGGGAGGTATGTCAGCGCTGTATTCCTGGTCCACTTCTGCCTTGTCTCGGAAAAGAGAAATGTGTGCTGCTCGCAAGGCTGTATGCTCCGCCGTCGGTGTTGCGGCAGGCACTCCTCAGAACAATTCTGGTGGAAGGACGGAGGAGTCGATGGCGGTGGATTCTTCACCACCGAGGAAACGGACAAAGATACAATAGTAGACCAATTTCTTCTACCTGGTTATGCCTTATTGTACATTTCATGGAATTTCAGTAAATTACTTCCACTCCCTCAAATTGTAAACAGCAATTGAATGTGTTTGTAACTTTGCGTAAACGAGTACAAATTTGGTAAGATAATTTTGGAGAATGCTCTTGACTATTTGAGCTAGATTGTACGTATCCAAATTTTCGTTTATACCTTGATGGATTTCTTCTCCCAAGGCAAAAATGGGGGCTGGTGTGTGTGGCGCGGTAATAGAAGAGCGTGAAAGTCACCCATGTTGGTCTCTGAACCAAGTCCAATGTTTGGTTCTGTTGTTGGAATCTAACTGTCCGTGCACCCCTTATGGTACTGCCACCTTCTTGTTTGCAGTCCCCGCTCGGGGTTCTCTTAGATCGGTACCCATACTGACGTGATGCTGTAAATGCCACCATCCCTCTTGGATTTTGTGCTCTATTTATCTGGATGCTATCGAGTTCTCCAGGAGCACGGTCACTGCGTATGTTTTCAGGACAGGTTAACCTGAGAACCACCACGACCGTCAGCCATGCGTCGGAAGATCCTGGATCTGAGCCTCTCAAGTGGCTTATGCATGAGAGGGCTCACCTTGACTCTGAGAAGGCTGTTTGTAAGCTTTGACTGTATCTGACCTATGTGTGGGTGAGTGTCCACAAACAGAGATTTTTTTCTGAAATTGTGGACATTTCTCGACAAATATTGCCATTCACCAAATAATACAATTGAATTTAAAATTGGTTTGCGAGACAAATTGATTGACCGTCGTGGCATCACGACCTTTCTGAAGCCAACTTGATTAGCTAATTAGCCAAAGCTTATTTTTCTCTTTAATTGTGGCTTCATTCCTCTAAACGACAAGGTGGGAACTTTTTAGCGTGCCTCTGACCAATTACCTGTCTGGACCAAACGAGTATTATGACCGACAATCTGAGCAGACAGGTGATCACGTGACACCATTCTCGAGGTCAAGTAGACGAATAGCCTCCCTCAAGGGAAGGCGATGACAGCGTGCCTTTCGGGAGTCGGTAGTGTTCCCTTCCATTCAACCGCCTTGATCCACGACTTCGAAGCCAGTGGAAAGAAACACTGCTTTGGAAATTAAATACAAACAATCCGATGGATTCGGTGATCAACGAAAAATGGCAAAGTATGTTCCCATTGATCTGTGGACGGATTAGCCATGGAGGATGAACCTGTCATCAGTGCAACACACAGCAAACATCGACCCTCCTCCACCTCTCTGCTATCCTCATTTTCACATTAATTTCCTGAACGGATTAAGGAAACTGTCCATGGTGAAAAACAGAAGCTAACCAGAGTGGATGATGCGCCTGAACTCTTTATCTTTCAATAAGCAGATCAGATTGGTCGAATGCAGTGCAACGAGTCTTTTGCCTTATGGTATGGCACGGAACCAATTCGTTTTCCCAAACTTAATCACCTTCACCTCATGAAAACTCTGTTCGCTCACAACTTTGCGTGCATAGTAAAGTCAAGAAACAGGTACGAAGGAGGTAATTTGTACAGTTAGGATAGGGGCAGACGGAATAGGGTTCAACATCCCCTCTCACATTTACTCAACTCTTTCAGTAGCAATGAACAAAGCAGTCGTCAAAAGTTTACAATGACTGATTGTGTCGATAGTGATTGGGAGGAAGACCTAAAGGAGAGAAATTTTAAAGCTAATTTGCAGTGTTGCCAAAAGAGCCATAAAATCATGGTAAACGACCGAGTTTACCAGCTACCAGGCATATTTCCACATCCGCCCCGAAAGACAGGAGGCTATCCATCCAGACCATTTGTTGGGACGAGAGCTGATCTCCAGAACCTTTTACTTCGACAAGCTAAAATTAAAGTCAGTGACATGATTAAAAGTTGGCAATACACACTGGAGGAGGAGAGGAACCCGCAAAAGTTGACCATACTGGAATCCCGCATAACCAAAAGAAGTGGAATTGCAACCTCAGCTTACAAGTTCACTTTTAAATCCACATTACGACACAACTACTCCTGGATTGCGAATGCGTGCTTAATTGGAGGGAACAACTGAGACTAGATGAGCTAACCTTAGCTTTTCCCGAAGAAGGGCTCCAAACCGTAAGGTCAGGCAGTCCGGTACTCCAATTTGCGTAGTCACTGATCAGGAGACGGCAGATAGACGCCACCAATTGGGGCCCCAGACACCAGAATAACTCCTGTATTGAGAAAGGAAAGAGAAAGCAATGGGAGCAGAGCGCCATCTTTTGCCTCACCCAAGGGACACAGCCAACTCAAAGGGGCATCTAACACGACTAATTTAAAACTTGCCACAACGTCATTTTCACCAGCAGGAAAAAGGTTCCAACAGGCACCGATACAATACTCGTCCTTGTGCTTTGTCCATGTTTCCACCAACATCTGCGAGATTGGATCTGTAGCCTTGGAAAGTAAGGTGAATTGCTTTAGCCAAAAGCTGTCCAGTCATAGTCACAGTGGTGGCACAGTCACATCCTTACCAGTGATTCTGTTTCCGATGTCTGCAAAGACCTTTTTGCAGAGCTAATCATTTCCAGACGGCTTTCAATAAGGTCTCTGTGTGAAGTATAGAATTCCCCGGCAAAAAGATCCAGTGGTGCTGTCTGAAGCATCGAGTAGAAGGCGTCTGCGCGATCGACACCAAAAAGTAGATCGTAAAACAGCAGAGCAAAGAGAGTTGTGCATATTCGAGATTCAGCATGAAGCCCTTAAAAATGAAGAGTTTCACAATATGATGGTTACGTGCCTTAATTCCAGTCGAATCATTTGAAATAACCAAGGCAAGGACTAAGGAGATCATAGATGAAAACATTTTACCTTTTTCGAATTTTTCATTGTGCAAGTAGTGTTTTAGTGCCCAATTTTCAACTTCAAGAATGCTTGTTTTTGACTCATTTTTTGTAACATCCTCTTCGAGCTCTACCCAGAGGTAGACGGGACGACGAGCACCAAGATCCGCCGAAAGGCCGGGAATAGGAGCCAAAAGATTCACCTTAGAAGACCGACAAATTACAACGTTTAGAAGAAAATATTAAAATCGCACTGGCCATTAAACTTCACATTCGAGTGTTGACTTGTATGTTTGATTGCACTACTTAAACGAGCACTAGTAGAACGCACTAGCAGAGTACATGCAGGCCATATATGAAGAGTGAACTCACCACAGGCGCGCACTTTAACTGAGGTAATAATTCATTCCTCAGTGCTGTTATGCTATCCAACATCGCACTGTCTGTGATCTCCTTAAGACTCGAATTTCCATTTCGATTTAAGCTTCGTGAACTTGCATCCGTGTAAAGCCAAAAGTGGGACAATGCATTATCCGATTTCTCCCCTATCAGGCGGCCGATCTGTATTTGAATCTCGAGCCGATGTCTCGGATGCAAACCTTGTAGTACATGAAGAAGGCTCTGGACCTTCTTTAAGCAGGTGACAGGATCCCTACAATGGGTACCTTGGTCAAGCAGAAGACGTTTGATGAAGAAGCACAATGAGCTGGAGCCGATATTGGTCAAAAAATCGGAGGATAAAGCGATGAGAATCAGTTTCACAGATTCATGGTATTTACGCAGGCGCTCACAAACATTTACACCGATTCGAATAAGACGAAGCGCAAGATTGGGCGGGGAATACCTTCGCAGAAAGCGCGGAAGGTCATGGCGGTGAAGGGATGAACTGAGAAAAAGAAAACATCATTACCTGTAGTATAGACAATGACCGACTAGACATAAACGTAACCAACTTTTCAATGACAGCTGTAACAAGATGAAGGTGTTTCTGAAACTGTTCATAGGCCTGTGTGAATTTGGATTTCAACGTCAGGTAATCCAAATGGTGCCGTAGGTTGCACAGCTCAAAATACCTACGCGAGCGATAAATACTGATGATCCCAGATTTACTTGAATAAATCTTCCCTGTTGATTAAGATAGAAGACATCCTATGGATTGTAAAATCAGGAAACATGATCTGCCCACGATACATCCACACAATTTCGGATCTATACGCAGACATTTGCATCAAACAAAATTAAAAACTACATGTTCTTGGCAAGCAATGCTTTAAAAGAACTTGGATAAGAAGAGGGGCTAAGTGTTCCCGAGGTCAATGAGAAACAGAGCAACACTCGTGAGAAGACATCGGCATAGTCCTGAACAACAGAGAAAAAGGGACCGAGAGAACGTTCTGTTCTGCAAAAGGCAAAATAAGGCGTTTAGTTAAGTTGGTCATAAAGACAAATTAAGCATCGTAAAATGGCAAATATTGCGTGAACACACAAGGCGCGAAGTCGACTTTGGTTGGTCGATCGGGTTGAAGTAAAAAAATCCAACAAGGTGGGACGACGAGATGATTTGAGAAGAGCGTCAACAATTGCTCTAATTCCGGCATTCTTAACTGGAAGTTTCAATTTTGTAGCCAAATTTACAAGCTCATTTCTCCTAAGTGTGTGCAGGAGTTCCGTATCAGAAAAACAGTCAACATCTAACTAGAATAAGAAACGGACAATAACAACCAAATGATATGAATCCGCGTTCCGCGAGCTCCGTGCATAAAAGTTCAGCATTTCCGTTGCTAAGCTCACGTGGTAGACGAAATGTTTTCAATCTGAACAATTTCCGGCAACTTCGAAATAGATTTAGATAAAGTATCTGCAAGGTTTCTGGACCTCATAAGTTCTCTTGGAGTCTCACCTGTCATATTAATAAAACTTGCAATGCAGTCACCATCTCCGCGGCTAAACAAGCTCGCAAAGCAGGGTTCGTTGGAAACGTGATCAAGGATAAATAGAAAGCGCTGGCAATAAAGCAACCCAGGGGTGGCATCAGGCAATAAATCCGCCTTATCACCCAATGATACTGGACTTTCATCTGCTTCTGAATTCATATCAGTTGAAAGTTTGTTAAACAATGTTGTCGATAAATTCCAGTAATAGCTTAAAATCGATAGCACCGAAGTTCGACGAAGTCAAGCAAGGTTCCCTAGTTATACGGATCTCTAAAAAGTCCAATTATGGTAAATAAAGTCAAAATAGCAAATCGAAAGGTAATGGGGTTCGAATCCTTCATTAGATTATCGCACATACAGCATGCAAACTTTGATTAGTTTGAAGGAGTAAGTTCAGTTTGGAGTATTACCTAAGAAGCCACGGATACAAGCACGGTCATTCAAAAGATATGAATGGAGGAATATATGCAGATGGTGGTAAATGAATCTGGGATTTCATACTGAAATAAAGTCAGAACTGGCACAAGAATGACAAATTACAATCCAAGAATCGTTGAATGAAAGCAGTAATGACAGCAGCAAAACACCCAAGCGCTTCACGACGAAGCAAATCTTGTGGAGTACGCGACGCGAGATCAGTACCCTATTCGTCCTCCCTGGATGGATTATAAGTAGCGCCAAATTTTAAAGGTTATGAGGATGGTATATATCGACACGTCTGCTAATTTCATTATTACTATATGTTCGCTCATTGATGACCTTAACTTTGTAAGTCGCACTGATTAAATTACGTTCGTACGCCAACATGCCTAATGCATTTTATTCGTTTTCTGTTCCCAATTTTATTTACTCCAGCATCCAAAACGTGAGTTAAGGGATCTTTGGTCATATTATGTGTATTGCATTAAAAATCCCAAAACTGACCAATGCTTTCTTGAAGGAGAGTTTTAAATCTTTTGAAATGCATTTCCATGTTATTGGCATGACGTGAAGGGGATTTTGCTGCCATGTAGAATTTAATTTGAAGTCAAAACTGCAAGGCCTAAAAATTCACCGATTAAAGAATCTGAAATTTTTCGCCTCGCAGGTTTTGACTAATGTGTTACAAGAAAGTGCCTGTCCTCTGCCCTCAGAGGTAAATGGATCCTGAAAGCTAAGCTAGTTGCTTTGTAATTCAATTTTAACCTCCATCGTAACTTATTAAAACAGGTAACCTGATTACATGTTCTCGTTGATACTCATCTTGATGTGATGTACCTCATGAAAGCATGCGGAAGATTTCATTTATTTGTATCTCCTCTGCCATCTGGGACTTACTGCAGGAAATGCTGCCGTGACAGTGCCAGTCAAATTTGTGAATGGATATTTGTCCAGAAATCTCAATTTGAAAATTCCTATATCCCGATTTCACTTCACCGTCCGTAACTACGTAAATCTCAATAACTCATGTAACCGCTCTTCTTTGGCAAATGCCTTCCGTTTTGCTGTTCACTATGAGGCCTTTTCTCCAAGTCAATTATGTAAACGAAGCGGTAAGAATATTCAATTGTACGCAAACAGAGGAAGGCAGGCCTAGCCATGCACGAGGATATGTCAACGAGGCACAAAAGACCGCATTTCAAAAACTCTAACCTTGCGTTTGCATTCTTGACCAATTGAAAAATATGCTAAAAAATTGCCTTTAAAGCCAAAACGGAGGCAGTTAAACAGTTGGCGCGCATAACCTTTAACCATTCCGAGAAGGACTTGCTAAGGCAGTTTAATGACTTTCGAAATTGTGCAGTGGCTGTCAGCATTCTTGCTCTCCTCTTTTGTCAATATGAAATCTGGCTAATTGAATCGCGATTGATGAGGACTGAACGAAAAGACACTGGGAAGACTCACTAGACGGGATCGGAGAGCTTCCCTTCCCTTCTAGCAATCATCAACACTCATAATCTGCACAAAAGGGGAGATAAAGGCACAACAACTCTGATTTGGACTACTTAAATGACTTTTAAAACAAAACTACAGACTGCGGACTTGTGAGAGTAAACGACACCACTTCCGCACTCCACCGTGAATAAATTGCGAAGGTATAGAATCGTAGATACGATTGCTTTTTGTATTTCTAGGCTCGTCATAATCAAAAACGCGTTCTCTATGGATGCAATACCAATTCAACTTGAATGTCATCTGACTGCCAAACGTTTGCTACCTAGGAGAACTGACTATCATGGGCGTTTCAAAGCGCCTAGTTTGTCGTTCTTCTAACATTGGGAATAGTACACTAGGTGTGCATAACTTTTGTTTCCGCCCTTGAGCGCAAAAGTTTGAAGGTGAGTTTTAACACCATCAAAAATTTGACGCTGAAAATGGCATCGCATCGAGCCGTGCTTAAAGTCAATTGATCTCCAAAAACAGGCCGCGATGGGAAATTGGTCAGCTGCTTCCCATGAGATACATTTGAGGCCCCAAACTTATAAGCACAATGAAATTCCTTATGCCAGTGACTAAACACATGGCTAATGCTGAGGGCGGAGGAAGGGGAAGAAGTTCCAAACGCCATCTAAAGACTCGTCGTCATCTCTGCTGTTGCCCAAACAAACGAAGACTGCAGTTCTGATGAGTCTTTTGTGTACGATTCTGTAGTTTGACGCTGTACAGATCAAACTTCTTTCCACAGCTTATCCCATTTATAGGTTGTCAGTGATCCTGTTTAGACGGTTCCGGTACGCTAATATGTGGCCAGGCGGAATGGCAGGCAAGGGGGTAATGGCCGCCCTCTAGCGTCGTCTAGGCGTCGTGCTGTCAAGGGGACGAACAAGAGCGGTAAGCTCAAGACTACAAGTGACTCAGACCGAGAGTTAAACAAGCACTTAATGCATTATGCAGGTCCTTTCTCGGTATTCGAGGACTGGACGCAGTCTTCCCTCTAACTCCAACACCAGCCTCGTTGTACTCCACATTGTGTAATACTAGCACTGAGTAAGTAATATTTTTCCTTCATTTTAACTGCAAGTGACAGAGGTTGAAGACATCAAGCGACTTTGCTGTTTAAAAACTGTCTCTGAGGGTGGTTGGATGAGCTAATCGGGATGATCGACGAAAAGAAGGAGGTAAAACTCAGAGCTCTTTCCCCTCACCTCTCCACCCATGCCGACCCACAAATCACAGTGGTATACCTGGCTGATAAATTTTACTTTCACCACAAACAGAAGTAGATGTAAGCATTACTGTAATAATCCCATCTCCATCAGTGGCGACGAGTCTTTTGATGGCTTTTGAAACTTCTTTCCTTTCCTCTACCCTCGGCATTATCCTTGTGTGTGTACTTGCGTTTCCAGAAATTCGGAAAACAAAAGATGCGGACTGCAAGATGTCGACGCCTCAAGATGGCGGCAGTAAGAGGAGGTAAATACAACCCTCGTGTAGCACCTTTTCACAGAAACGAGTCGCATCCTCCCTACGTGCACAGCGTGTAGCTCTTTGCTGTGGAAAAAAGTCACCTCCCAATGCGTGAAGATCGACACAGGCAGGTATTTTTAGCGAGCTATTTAAGGGCATGCACGGGGCAATGGACACGACTCGGTGTGTGGCCAAAATATTGCCTCAGAGGGATTGGGAAATCTGCAATCAACAATGTGGCGACATTTATCACCCAACACGCACCAAACGCGACTGTTATGGTAGCATTTTGTTCTACCAGCGAAAATCTGCGATTTGTTTAGGCTTTTGTGTGTGAGAACTTGAAATATGCGACCATCTCAGCGGCATTTTGTGTTAAGCGTTGACTGTGTGGCAAGTAGTCCTGAGTTTTTGCATCACTTGTAGCGTCTGCGGATGAGGGCCTCGGGGCTCCACAGCAGTGACGAAGAAAAGCGGCACAACTGTAAAGATGAGCTAAAGCAATTTCCATTCTAACATTGACAAGTCAAATCGGAAAGTGGAGAGTATAACGGGTTAGGAGAGGCCTCCTTTCCAGTTGTCACCTCAGTCTTGTAATCTCTGGCAACGAATTTGAAAAGCGAATAAAGTCTAGCCGCCAGCTATGCAAGTAAAATAGTTTACGAAACTACCACGCCACATTTTCGCCTTCTCCTCTCGTCTGGTTGAATGGAATCCAGACATCTTGGGGGAACGGACAAAACACGCGTCTCAAACAGCCATTTTAAACATCTCAATTTGTTAATTCGGTGTTTGTGTGACTGGTGGCAGCAACTAAAGCTTAGAATCGAGATGAATGTCTCAATTCACTGGAACTGCGGTTAAATACTAACCTTATTGCACTCGCACTTGCCGACTGGGATGGATTGGTTGACGGTAGGACCACCTTCTGCTCTCCAAACCTTGGAGAATGGCAAGGATGAGCTCCGATGGTAGTGCTCAAGAGGGCAACAGAGGTGTGCAACGCTTTGTCCGTCTGCATAGCCCTGCGTGCTCGACTCTTAAGAGCACTCAAGACTCCAAAATTGTTCTTACACCGAGAGATACACCCCTCCTCTACCTCCATCCATCCTACACATCCGCATCTACCGACCGGAAGAGGGATTTGTGGTGTTACTAAGCCCGGATCGCATTAACAATTTGGCAAGAAGACAAGACGATTGATGATAAGGTCAAAGTGTTGCGAAGTCGTTGAAGTAGCAAAGCTGCATTGGGCTGATTTGAGGAACTCAAGAGTAAGCCTTGGGTTAAAACACCCTCCCCTTCTCCTTTTATCACCATAATTGATTTTGAACTTCCAATCGCAAATCTTAGGAACAACAAGTGCCATTAGCACTGCCGTGCACCACAAATCGACGAGACTTCGAATGTCCTCTTGATGCTCGGTTGCATAAATTAATGAGAACAGAACGAATTTATTTATGGCAAGGCATTTATTAAAATCAATCCATTAACCGAATTTGCCATCTTCATGCTTACGATCAGCCGTCAAAATGAGGCGCAGTCTGCGAGTTGGAATAGGTACGATGGCACTTGGATGCACTCTTAAGACTAATGGGTCCGCTTTTTTAAAGTTTTTAGCTCACTTTTGCTGTGGTGTAACTGTTCAGAACTTTGAAGTTTACTGGAATTCGAGGCTAGCACGGCTGCCATGCCAAATCTGACGCCTCTAGGAAGCAATCCAGGCTAGCTTGCCTGTCATTCTTGCTGCCACAAAAGTGGCAACCAAATTCATTGTTTATACAAACAATGACAGGTCTGTGCCAAATCTGATTCCAGTCACATAAACCATTTCTATTATAATGTGCACATACAACAGGAAGTTCACTAGCAGTCATTACAACCGGGTGGGGTGAGGGACCCCGTTTGCCTGCAGTCGGTGCAAACTGTGAGAAGTTACACATGAAGAAAAGGACAACTGCGGTCGCCTGCGGCCATAAAGTCAGGCAAATCGAGTATTCACGTTGCATAGAGGCTCTTAAGCTATTCGAATGTTGGTGTTCTACCTGAAGTACCCTCATTACAGTTTGCGTAAACCTGTAAATAATGTAGGCAAACGAATTAACTAATTTTACTAAAAAAATCCTTTTTGTCGCGATGAAGCACTTAATGTATGGAAGAGAATTTAAAAAAGGCGCAACTCTTCCACAAGCCCCACACAAATCGGGTAAGCAACGTCTAAGTAATTTGCGTAGGTGATTGGCTTGGGTCAAGGTCATAAGTTATTAAGCCCACTTGACTTAAGAATACGAAATTTGGTGGTTATTAATTAGTTTATACAAAATGGTGCTCTTTGTTCAAATAGCATTGGATTCAAATCTTTAAAACAGCACTTTAGTTAAGGGAACTCGCACACTAAGCGAACGGTAAAAAAGTGCCAGCGATTTTTAAAGCACTGACATATGAAATCAAAATCAACTTCAACTAAAGGGGTTCAAGATGACGTACAGGCCCCCAGATATTACTTTATGATAGCTAAGCAGTATGTTACAGCCATACATTGCCTATTTTCTAAAAGTGGCATTAAGCTATCAACTTTCACATACTAATAAATTTTACCCATGAGACTTCGTTTACTGACTGGCTGTCCTAGTGGCAGTCATTTAGCTTCTATCGTGTGGGTCTCACTTCTTTGCTTTCCGATTGAATGCTGGTATTTTGCATGGAGCCGCCTCCCATTTTTCAGTCAACATTGTTGGCCTACACCTCTATCATGCCATACGATGGAACTGACGGCCATTTCGTATCAAGCCAAGGCAATAAAGCAACCATATTATTCACTTTCTACTCGTTAATTTCAACCACACACAGACAAGGTGGAGCGCATCGGCGTCATCAGTGTTGCTGACAAAACGCACAAAACGCAAGCCCTCGTGATTGGCGCTAGCTGATTTTCCTAGGCCCAAATTTCCACAGTAATTTAGCCCCACGATTTACAATTACGTCTTGGCAGTGGTCCAATTCGTAATGTGTACTTCCCCTTTTGGAAAGATTTATGCCATGCCTTGGCATTTTTTTGGCAGTCACGCCTTATTACAGACCGAATGAAAATTCCTTTCCACTCCTACTCGTTAATGTATGAGGGTGTGTGTGTATGGTAGAGAAAAAAGTTCAGAAAACATTTTTTTGATTTTGTATCCCCTAACACTCCTCATAGTACGCTATCCACCTGTGTACTTTCGTCAAACTCGAGGTCTCTCTTGTCTGTCGGCACTTTTGCCGACATGGTGGGGTGAACTTTAACTAACGCCCATGACCCCGGAGGAGAACATTAATGTGTGAGATGAGTGACAGATAATTGCTTGAGGTAGAAATTCGCTTTTTACATCCGCTGAGGTCACGGGACATTTCCCTTCGATGCCAAATAGTATAGAGTTTTGTGGACTGGAATTCTGGACCAAATGGTGTTAGTTTTAGTTACTAAGTCTTACGTGATGGCGATTAGACACAGTGTTAAGGTAGGATAATGTTTCGTTTGTGTTGTTTTTGGATGGCATGGTGCTACAAGGAGGTTCAAAGGTGGAGGTCCACATATCCAATTGAGGCATTTCAACCGCCCTTCGCGTCCTCTTCAATAGTGCCAAACTTAGCATCCTTTCACGCGGATGGCGCTGGTGCAGGAAGTCTCAACAGCCCACATTAATCCCAACTTTGTTTAGCATGTTCCACTCTTTTTATTTTTTGAAGATAATTCTGGACTTAGGGGCGACTTTTGCTGAGATATTTCTAAAGGAGAAAGTAAGTGGTAAAACTCACTCCCAACAAAATGTGTGAACGGTTGCGGTTTGTTAGTGTTAAGCGTTTTTTTAGCGTTTTTCTAGTGTTGTGTCTGGTTTAGAGGGAAGTGTATTTTATTTCCATTTTCCTTACTCGAGTCAATGAAGGGATATTAGCGATTCTTATAATTTCTGCAAAAGAATAACCAACTGTAGTATCACCTGATCGTCATGAAAGATATAGCCTTGCTTCGGTTTTACAAAACTGAAACAGTAGTATTAGCTGGCATCACAGTCTTATCATCGAGGCATATGCACACCCTATTTTTAACTGCCCTACGTCGTGTTACTTAAATAAAATCAGCGTCTGATTAAATCTTGCTCTTCAAATTCTGTTTTTACGGAGTTGCAGCTGCAACCTGGGAATAAAATGAAGATAAATTGCAATGTTCTTGGCGCAGTATGAGGTAGTTCATTGTAAAATTAGACGATGCAACCAAAGGGTTGAATTTAGTTTGCTTGTCAGTCGCTGCTTAACAGAGGAGCCGCAACTTGATGCCCCGAATTGGTAGTAACGTGGGGAATACCTCACGTGCTGCGTAGCTCAACAAAATAGTTAAGAAGATTTTGTGTCTAATTATAGCAGCGATGAAACCGATTCCTCTGAACATCGACTGTTCCTCCCTCTTTCCCGCCTTTGCCCCATTTCATGTGGACCATAGGCCGTGGGAGTTATCTTTTGCCATGCTCGCATTTTGGCTCTTATGCTTGCAGATTATTCCAAGTGGAAGTGAAAACATCCACAAGATGCCTTATTTCAAAGGTGTTAAAAGTGCTGTGTCAAGTCTTTTGAGAGAGTTTTTTATGCCGCAAAAGCCACTGTATTCGTTTGATGAGATCAATTATTTTAGGCCAGAGGGAACTTTGAGATCGGACTAAGCTTAGCTTGAAAACAAATTTATTGTCTCGCATTTTCATCCCTTATGACCTCACACCTGCCCAACAGACAATCTATGCCGGCTATCTCACACAAATGGGGCGTGTATGTGTTCTTAGTGTAAAAGTAATTGCTACTGTACGCAGTGTCTTGACATTTCCCTTTCTCAAAACCTCTCCTGCCCCAATTTCTGCTGGCCACCAACACGGGGCCATTACATTCCACGTGGAGGCCCGCAAAGGCATTTCCACCATCGGTACACACACCAACAGCCACCAACGTCACCAATTGTAGGGTAACAAAATTTATTAATTACAAATGTATGGTGTCCATGCTTAAAATAACTCTCTTGCGGAGCACTTATCAGCGATTCCCACAACACACTGATAAATAATGACCGAGTCAAACTGGTTAATCACTACCGGCATCTTACGATAGGACAAAAAAAGCATTTGTTTTAGTTTCGATTCTGATCAAATGTGCAAGATCAGTGTACTTTTAAATACCAGACTTGGCGGTGTTCACACTGGAGTTGTGATTAATGACGCCTTTGCTACAAGTTCGCACCATTGGAACCCATTTAAAGCTACCTGAATGCTAAAGGTATATATTTTATGGTTCTTATAACAGAGGTCACCTCAGGTTGCATTAGAGAAAAAAGGTTTTAGTAATCTGGAGCAGTTTCATGTATTTTGGAGCATAGTGAAGAATGTCGGCGCTAAGATACTAATTCTTAGACCCCAACTGACACCTCCGTCCTTTAATTTGACACCGCTTATTTTGAGACTCCACCTTTTACGACGAAGGATGGGGACGAGAAATAGGTGGTGTGGCATCTCATGCATCAACCTCGCCATCGCCACTATAATGTTGGTTGCGCTATCTCCACCATTGCTGTCTTGTGCCTGAGGATCAATGGGAGACGATGTTGGGGAGGCTACAATCATGTTAACACAGACAGACAGACACACCAGACCTTCGCCCAGTGGCCCTTTGGAGGCGTGCAATGCTTTGATTGGTCTTATCGAACCGGTGGTGGTGTGTGTGTGTGTGTCTGTGCCCGTGGTTGTGACTGTAATTCGCATCCCCTTTCGGAAGGTCTTGCACCCTCTCCCTCTCTCACTCTCTCGTGCACGCACACATATACACGTGCGTAAACGGACAATTTCCCGTGTTCCAACTCTTGCCACCTCGTGCACCTCTCTATCTCTACCTGTCTTCGCGATGGAAATGAAGAAAGCCTCCGACTACCCCGAAGTGGATACAAATGCACCCACATGGATTCGAAAGATGCGCACTGTCTTCCGTCGATTTGACTCTCGTGGTCGTGGAGCTGTTGGCATTGACGAATTCCTTGACATTGCCACTTCAGTTCTCTCCGAGTTCCCAAAGAGCGAGAACTTCTTTGGGGACCAGTTGGTGCAGGCCATGATCCATCTGTGGTATGGTGTCATCTGCACCGAGGGGCAGGAGCACCAACGAACTGAGATTGTGATGCATGAGAATGAGTTTATCAAGGCCATGGGAAAGTGTATTAATGGGCTGTTTAAAACTGAGTTTGAGCAGAACATTGTGTCACCTCTCTTTGATATAGCCGACTGCGACAAGGATGGATTCATCCAACAGAATGAGATGAGCCAAGTAATAGTCGCTGTGGGTGGGAATCAAAAGGAGGCGGAGCTTTTATTCCGTCTTCTCGATGCAGGCACCAAAAAGGGCGTCACTAAGGCTCAATTTGAGGGCATCCTTGCTGAATTCTTCTTTGATGCTGGTATCAAAGGCAAAACGGCGAGGCTGTTTGGCGCTCTTATTAACTACAAGCGACCTGAAGACTATCCAGAGGTTGAGTGTGGACCAGTTTGGGAGGGAAAGATGAGAACCATGTTCCGCCGATTGGACTTACATGGAACAGGGAAGCTACGCTGTCACGACTTCATTCAAATTGGGAGAGCTCTGGCGCAACGAAACCACCTGCCGAAGCACAAGGCGGACAATGTTATGCGTGCTATGCTTGATATCTGGGTGCACTACTTCTCTATTGACAAGGATGGTAAGAGCATCACAGACTATAATGATGTCTAAACAACCGAAATAGTAGGGCTAACGCCACTAATCTTGCCTCTTGTGCTTCATCACTAATCCACATTGATATGCACGCCTGAGTCTTATCTTAATACTGAGGATACACAATTGAGATGACACTAACCTAATGCAAACCATTGCGCGGATGCTAGAATAGGAAACTGAATGTTTTAAAACGCATTTTATGTCTTTTGTTTCACAAAAGGTAAGGATAAGTTAATCAAATTTGGTATGCAGTGGATGACATATTCGGCTTCTTCATCTCCTTGACAAACCCTATGTGTCTTTCTTCTTTAATCAAGCTTTTGAAAGAGGAGATACGGGTTTGTTTGGAAGTAGATATATGCATGCATTTGACTTCAATCAGTATGTCTGTGGTCATATACTGTGGCAACGTGTCAGCATGACCAATAGCGAAATGCGGACATTCAGCTAAGCACCACAGTCATCCTAGCTTCATATCATTATAGCATCACATCGTAAGGAGTAAACTTCATGCATGTAATGCATTAAAAAAGAGAGGAAGGCTACTGGATGTGTCACCACGATTGCTATAAGAAGGTAACACATCTTGGTTTCCTTGTGGACCATTTGCGGTACTTGAGGGTCAAAAAATAGCTTTGTCCTTGGCTTAAATTTTTTTTTTGGCTTATAGTCCGCTACGTTTTAAAAACACGTTACGTTACATTGCTCTGAGCAATTAAAGTGAGTATCTGCACCATAGATAACATTTGGATAACTAAATCTGGCATTAGAACGCCATATTATCAAAGCTCAAAGTAAAAGGGGTAAAGATTTTTTGGTACCTAAGAGAGTTATTTTGACAACTGCTGTTGCATTTGCCTTACCCTTCTCATAAAGCGCTTGTTGACATCTAGCCCGAACCAATGTGGAGAAGTTTAGGATTTATTCTAAGCTTAAATAGCCTTTGCGCCATCAAATTGTGGTAACGACCTGCGATTATCGCTGTTGGCTTACCTGTGATCTAGTTTAAACCGACTCAGTGACCTTAGCTAAGATACCCGATCCAAAATTCTGATGTTTTGCTGAGACATTTGGTTACACCACATTTATTTAAGCTTCATTGTGGTGTCAGCGTTCCCCGAAATATCCCAACTAAGAGTGCGTTTAAAATTTGTTATAACACCGATGGGCGATTGTCTGAATTCGTATGCACCCGTCCTAGTTGCTTGTTTGCTGTCGATACTTTTGCTCCGATGTTTCATGTTCTACTTGGTGGTTTCATCTAGTCTTCGTTTGTACGAAAAATGACAAAGGCCAACATTTGGAAACGGTGCATCTTTGCTTACTTATTTTAGTTTCAACGGGGCGTCATTTGTGGTTTCCATGATGCTGCTGCATGTTCATAAGCCATCTAGTTTACTTAATACCAACAAGCATGTTAATTACTGAAACCTACTTATCCATCCTAGTACTTTTTAGCAGCTTTTGCTAATACTGATTGGAAGTTTATTGGCTGACCCTTGTAGGTGCGCACTTCACAGAGATCACTGAAAAGGATTTCATTCACAACCTTCGGTCGATGATTAATGGCGAGTTCCGACATGCTATCGACCAGTACGGTTGGACATTCTTTAAAGCTGTTGAGGTTGAAGGCACGGGGTTTATCTCAATGGCGGAGTACCGTAATTTGCAAGAGGCGTGGCGGGTTGGCCGTGCCGAAGCTGAGGGCATGTTCAAGGCATGTGGTCTACAAGACAGTGAGGAAGTTTGTGAATGATGAATAGAATTTTTAAATGAATCCTTTTGTTTTTAAGGTTTTGGACACAGATAAAGATGGGAAGATAAGCAGCGATGAATATCTCTCAGCGTGGTGTGAATATTTCTTGGGAGAGGATCCGGCTAGCCCTTACAAGACCTTCTTCGGTCCTGTGGTTACGAAACACTCACGTGACTCCTTTGCTGAGTAAGAATGGGAAGCTGTTGAAGGAAGTGACGGTTCGCATTTACTTACCGCCTTCATTTCCCACGTCTTTTCGTCGCTCTTAAATCCTTTTATTCTCGTATTCTTGTCGCTTGTTTTCCTAATCTGTCCTTGCCCCTTCCATCTTCGAGTTTTTCCTCCCTCCAAGCCGTGTATTACACTGAGGTTGTGAGATTTTAACCACTGAATGACCTTAATACTGAGCTTCGCTTTGGTATGTATACATTCGTGCGTAAATCTGCATATATACTCACGAAATACATGTTTACTTGTCTGCTAGACCTTTGTTGGCTTTCTGATGCGTTCAAAGGGGTGAGTTTGCAAGACTTTTGGCTTGGTAGATTATTATTTCAGTGGTTTTGAGGCACAAAGTAGCAACTGTCTAATAACTTGACTATTGGACAATTCTTTAGCGACAGAGGGGTAGGTTTCTTTGTAAAGCTCCTGTCAAGCCCTGGATTTTGGTACCAACGGCATTTATTAGGGTAAGGCGATGTGATTCACTAAGATTTTTAGCCTCATAAAAGTTATGTAGAACACAAAATATCTTTATGTTAACTGCACGGGTGGAATTTTAATTGCTGAAGTCTGGTACTAAGACGCGAGCAATGAAGGAGTAGTAAAAGGTGGTTTAAACTATAGTTTTTCGAAGAATCTCAATTATTCCAGGAGCTCATGCCCTTCCCAAAGAAGTCGAAGTATGGGAATATTCCAAGCATGCTGACAATGAAATGCACTAACCACAGGTGGGTAGAGCTGCAAGCCTGCATAGGCTCACCTTCTCTGTCAAACATTATTCAGTCTCCATCCGTCAGTTCTCTAAGCAATGACTGTCCGCTCGTCGTTACTTCATTACATCGGTAACAGAAGCGTTGGTTCTTGAACCTTATGCCGTTCAGATAGTTGAAGATCAGGACAACCGTAAGTGCTCCCCATTCTGCCTTATCCACAGTATTTGTGTCGTATTTACCGCTAGTAAAACAACCATTTACAGTTAAATGTAGTTTTGTATGGCATATTGCATAGTCTCTTTTATACGAAAAAGGCTTCATCCTTCAGACTCTTTTGAAACCCTTGTGGACTTTGAGTTAAGTTTCTTGGACGATGTTCTGCATTGACTACATAAACTTGCTGAACCTCTTGATGCATCCTCAAGGCATGGAGTGCTCACTTATCCGGACGACGGCTCTCTGCCTGATTTTGGACCTACATTTTATTCTCAAACTCGCAACAAAGACTTCAAACCGTCTAGAGTGGAGCAGTACTTTCTAAAGGGCTCCGATGCCTCTGATTTCAAGGCGTGCCGTCTCCTTCCTGATTGAAGAAATGTCTAATAATGAATGATTACAAGTTTGTCTATCATTAACGATCCGCACATCCTATTGTTTAATTACATTCAAGATGTTTATTTCAATTCACGGCTTTCCAAGTCCCATGTTACGAATAATGAAAATTTTTCATACGAGCGGTGTGTGATGAGACTTGTAGGGAAAAAATTCGTCAACTAGGCTATTAAAGGTGCCCTTTCAAGACGTTCATACTTAGAATTTGGGTTTACCAACGATGAGAGAGAATAGGCCCTTCATTATTACGCAGTCGGCAAAAACAAAGGCAAACTGGCATTTAGTCTGGAGGGCGGTTTGCGTATCGAGTTCCGCTGAAGTCAAAAGTGGGTGGAAAATGAGGGCAGAAAATGGAATTTAGATGGTTTTGAGGCCACTCCATTCCATCGGGAGACCGAAGGCAGAAGGTATAGCGTGCTAACGGGACAGCTGCTGCAAATCCCCTTACCTTTTGAACATCATCCTTGGTGCTGGCAATAACAAGTTTGGTGGCGTCTAAAAGAAAATACCGAACATGCAACCCTCACATTTGCGATTGCATAGTACCAACTTTGCGGTGTTGCCTCGACAAATCCACCAAATCTTTACCTCCGTTCCGAATAGCAGTGCTATTGGAAGATGGGAAAATTTGTTTGCCACCTTGCCTTTTTGCATCGCTAATCTGCAAACACTCACCTAAGGGCAGTCTGCTCCTCTTTGCTCCTTTGTTTGCTTATCAAACCTTAAATGGTGCGAATCGACCACTAGAAGGGTGGAAGTGTCTTGGATTTGTGCGGTTGATTTCTTCACAAGCCTCACTGGAAACAGGCGTTATTTTTTGCCCTTCCTTAGTGATCGTTACAGACTCGATTCTTTGTGCTCCTCTTCGGCTCCGACAATACGTTTAAAAATTTAGCTCTCAGGAGCAGGAATCAGGATAGTTTTTCTTTGAAGCTGGATGCAAGTGCTCCTCCCGCCAACCGCTAGAGTCGATGTGCAGGTGCGGTCCCTCAAAGATTGACCACTTTATGGGCGAGCGGTCATTTTCAAGCAAGCACAATTGAAAGTAGCGACATCCCCTCTGGGCAACACAGTTTTTGCGAGGAAGCAAGCACCAAGTAGGCCAACAAGCTTTGCCTCTTCTTCTCACTGTTCAATCTCAACTTCAGTGTCCATGTCAATGGAGTAAAGCGCCTTTTGCTTCCAACAACAACGCTTTTACTGAGCCGGCTTCATGTCACCGATGATTCTCAATGCCATCCAAGTCAAGGCTTGACAATGAAGTGATTCGAAGGCGATCCAAAGGAGCAAGAGCCTCCTTTGAAGGTAGTGACACTTTCCACCAGTATTATGACCTTTGCGTCTGAAAATCCTTTTTGCTGTACGAATTTTAGGTTTTGTAGCACTTTGCCTCCCCATTTAACTCATCACTTTGTCTACACAGAAGCAAGAGACTCAAACACTGTGCTTTTGCTCGACCATTTCGTCTAATGGAAAGCGAAATAGATAGAAAAGCACAACAACTCTAATTTCTATTCCTAAAGCCAAACTTAAAGGTGACGAAAGAGTGCCATGTGCCGAGGATGAGAATTGGTAACGCTTTAAAAGACGCATCACCCCGTCAACTTCTTTAGTCGCTGGGTAGAAATGAGAGCAAAGTGACCGGGAGAATGAGGAGGTTTGAAGTTTGACTGAAAAGGGCGCCACTTCTTTGCATGTCTTTGCATTTTTGATATGCTTTGTATGGTACAATGTTTCACGGAAGGCTAGTGACAGCTACCATGCTACTAACTTTTACATCAGCGACCGTATCGAAGGCACACTTCCCTGATTTAAACGTTGATTGCACTTTATCATCCTACGTCCACTCCAAATTATGGGAGGACATGCAATGCTAGTCACCTCTGCTTCTACTTGGCTTGATTCTCCAATTGTGTCATCGTTTTGTCACCAGTGCTTCCAACTCTCAAGAATAAATCGCTTCAAAGTTGGCACGAAAGAGCGCCATGGCAGTGCAACAGACCTCAGCCTTGAAGGCAATTCAACCATAAATACGCCTTTCTATGGTGAAAAAGTGGGAATAGTCTTCAAGTGCTGGATCAAGAGAGCGTTGCATTCAATCCAGTAAGACTGCCTCCCTTGCTACACACTCCAAACATTGAACTTTCACAGACAAACATTCTTACACCATCGAGACCAAGGGATGCGAATAAAAATCACCTAAAATCTCAATCCGCCTATAAAAAATTGTTGTTCTAAAGAAAATGAATATTTGCTACCAGATTTGGGTTGCCACTAGCTAAATAGAGCTGTCTACTCGTCAGCAAGAAAATAGATAAATGGATCAAGAAAGCAAACGATCGCAATCGTGATCATCGACTAATTTACAGGGAAGACCTAAGTCCCTACCAAGAAATTCATCGTAATTTACACGAATGTGCATATCGAAAGGGATCTCACATCGAGTTAGCAATGTGACATTCACTGGAGTAATTGTTCACCAACGCACAGACACACGCACAGGAGAGAAGATAGGAGGAAAAGGGTAACTAAGGTTACGACTTTAATTGGATGCGCAACGGCGGATGCTGTTATGGGAGAGCACATTATATACACATAGAAAATAAGAGTACCACCAAGAGGAGGCTTCGAGGAGAGGGAGGGACAGACGTATCGCCTAATCGTCAGGAGCCAGTTTGGCCGTGTTGGCATGGGAGGCCGAGGAGGAGACGGAGGAGGTGGCGGTGGCCGCAATTTCTACATCACCAGGGCAGTAGACGGTAACTTTGGCGAACTTTCGGCTTGGACCCACAGGGCTCGGACTCAGCGCCACTGGCAAGAGAGTGGGAGCGTGGTTATAGCCAGTTGGTGTCACCAGCATATTCCCTGTCTCCTCGCCACTCTCTTCCCCGCCCTCCTCTTCCTCTTCTCCTGCCACTGCTGTCGCCGCGGACACTACTACGGCCGCTGCTGTCGTCGTCGCTACCGTCACTGTTGTCGCTACCGTTGATTCGACCGCTGCTGTGTTTACCGTCTGAAAATGTGAAGTAAATATTAATGAGAATTATTACCAGTTAAAAAGCTTCACTTCCTCAGCTTATTACAAGTGGGCCAATGTTAACTCCCTTCGCAAGGCTGCTTCTCGACCTTCGTGTAAACCTAGATTGCATTTTAAGTATTTATCAAGAATAAGACTCCAGCCAGAAGAGCTGCAGATGCGCAGAAAGAAAATAATCAAGTTCGGACAAGCAGTAGTGTGCAAAAAATTTAGGTCAAGAGTGAAGGCGTGTTTCTGACGCCTCAACCTCCAAAGTACTGATTGGTTGGCTTCTTATCAAACCTATGTGATATCCTTACAGGAGCGACCTAAACCCACTTGATCTACCAGGATGTCAGTAGAGCTGATTCTTAATAAACCCTACTTACAGTTGACCTTTCATCCATCCAGAATTCAGTGGTTTTAAAGCGACTGGTGAATGGGAGATTGGGCGACCTCCTGCATCAATCATTCTCCCACTTTAGCGCTGTGCATCGATGATTTTACAGACTTGACCAACCTAGAACTTTATTTAGAGGAAAAAAGCCTCTTTTAGCCTACGCCACATTGTCAACACATCTGCACCATAAATTCCGTTCGGTGTCACTTTTGTGATGGCATCCTGCATAATCCCAGCTGCAGGTGGACTGGGTACTTTGCAATGGGATTCTTACCAGTCTTGCACAACATCGACCTTTCCTCCAAGTCGCCTGCCGGAATTTGCATAAAGAAACATTGCAAAGTTCAAAGATAGTGATCACAGCTAGGTCCCTCCACTATCCTATGGATGGTGGAGTCACTGAAACAGGGAGAAGGAGGTGCTATAAAAGAGCAGAATGATGCATCCAAATGCTCCACATTCCTTTCGATAAAAAAACACCCGATAGTGCATGAAGACACCACAAAATAAGGATTATGGCAAGAAAAAGGCCCTAGTAATGTCTAAGGGTGACTCATTCCTCAGGGAATGCCAACAAGAAGTCTGCAAACAGGAACCTAAGCATACCCATGGGGGTACACGTGCATCATTGCGTGTGCGCTGCATCAGCACGGTGGTGGAGGGGTTTTTGATTGTTTATGGGGAAGAGAAGGAAAAGGGCTAGCCAGAAGTGCAGTTTGGATGCCACGTGGCAACAGATCGAAAAAAAAACCACAAAGACTGCTGATACATCAACCTCCACAAATTCAGATTGCAAACACCTTATTAAACCCCTGATTGATAGAGGGTGAACACAGCAGTGGAAATACCTTAGTATTAATCACTCGCACAACCAGAGGCATTTTAATAGCTGAATTGCATCCACGCCATTGTGACAAGCACATCACCCCAATCCTTAATCATGATTTAACAAAATTACCATTAACACAGAGCACTGCAATTGTCAAAGGCTTTTAGGTATGTGATTTTTCTGTCAACCTCGCAACAGCATGACAGTTGTGTGTGACACTTCTGCAGACCTTTAAGTCTACCATTGAAAGAGAAAAACAATAACAAAGCTTTCGGAACACTGTCCCAATTTCCATGGTTTGCGTGTGGAAGAGAATCGGCAACAGTAGATTTGCAGACCCAGCTACACAAATGGAAGACTAAGGGTCGTTTGGAGGAAGTGAAGAGCGTTTTTAGTTGATATGAGACAGCGAAGAGAGAGCATGAGCGAAAGTAGTACTTTCCTAACTAAGCATTACTTGAGGCAGTCCTTTTATACTATGATCAGGACAGAACGGAAATAGTGGCCCATTACTCACACCTTTAGCGCTGCCCAATTTCCTCTTTCCCTATCCAGACGCCCAGACGCCTCGTACATAAAGCCTAAGCTCCAAGTCCAAAGGAATCCACTTAATATCCTAGATATCAGGGTAAAATCTATCGCCAAAACAGCACCCTTACTGCCAACTGGAGTAAATCAACTGCTGTTACAACACTGAACCAGTACAGAATTTCCTCGAAAAACAAATTTTTTTAGCGAAACATTTTTGTGGTCCAGGCTCGAATTAAGCAACTGGGACATCAAACATGCAAGTGCGTCAGAGACCATTCTTCATAACTCACTCATTGCAACAGAGGTGTCCGCCATTAAGCTCTTGGAGCATTAAGGTTGTAAAGATCTGTGCTCTCACCACTCTAACCACTAGAGAAGTTCAAATAGGAAGATGGATCTCAAGGCCACTGTATCGGAATGAAGTTACATTTGTCAAACCAAAAATGCCTCCAAATCTTAAGAGATACAGTCACCGTTTTGGGGTCACGGTGTCCCGATCATGACCATAGTCGATGAGCTCTTCCAGCAGAAGGGTGTCCTCACTAGGTGAGCTCGGGATTACACATAAAAGGAACTCATTGCCAAAATGGACTGTACTTATAGTAGATTGTTGCTTTCCTAGACTGTTAAGAACCAAGCGATCGCATTAATAGGAGAGTGTAAGACAGGAGACTAGATGAAAATTGACTCAACACAGAGCAGTCTAGATTGTGAAGAGCACCCACCGTGGTGTTTGTAGACTGTTGGGTGGATGGGCAGAAGGAGGAAGGACCGGCGTATTTGACAAGATATGCCGATTCAGGATGTTGTCGGGAGTGAGCGTTGAGGTTGCTGCTCGTCGCAAAGGCCTTGCCACACACCACGCAATGGTACTGCTTTATCCCCAGGTGCACCGTCTAGAAGGCAAAGCACTAAACAGCTAGTAATGTGTGCAAGAGAAACATATCTATGTTCCTTGAGGTAGAAATTAAACGACTAATGATTCATGTCCACAGAACTAAATATAAGAACTGAACAAATATCTGGAAGAAAGCATTAGTCAAGGAGTCGGCAAATAAGCCAAATTATCGGCGCAGAAGCACGACGATACTAAAAATTATGGATCAGTCCGCATGATTGGATCCACAACGCTTTGCCTAACAAGAATTACGTTTTAGAGAAAAGCGGTATTTCAGTTCAAGACAGCAGTACGGTATGGGGCTAGACAGATTCAAAAAACAGCCATCGACAAGTCTCCATACTCCCATATAATCTGTGGAAAAAAATCCATCCACCACCAAAAAGTGCGCAAACGCCCACCTCTCGATTGAAAGAAGATGGGCTGAATGCGCCTACCGCAGTAATTGACAGGCCGCGAATGCAGGATGTCAAGTTGATTGACATGCACAGCTGAGGTCAACCCACACCAATGCAGTATAAACATCGCACGGCGATGAGAGTCCACACGAAACCACTTTTGTTTGATATCACTGAAGGGTGAAGGAGAATTTATGGAAAGGTTAATGACTAAAGGCTCTGCCATAAAAAAATTCAGTCTAGCTTGGACGTCGGCTATGCGACCATTTAGCACAGATTTTTGGTTGTTCAAAAATTAAGCAACTTGATGTCAAAAGCATACGAGTGAAAGGATAGGGAGAGAACCTATCAAGGTCTTGTTTTTGACATGCAATATACACACCAAAGGTTGTTATACAAGAATAATTGTCAGGCAAGTCTGATGAATTAAATTAAGGACACAAGGCTCCAAGAACATCTAGCCTGGGCATTAACATAGTCACGAGTCTCCATTTTATCCTAGAATTTAAGGCCGCAATAAGGTATCTCGCATCAAATTACATTCTAATCTACTGTATTGGTAGCAAGTATTCCACACCAGTCCTGTTCAGTTTCTCCTGAAAATGCACCACCTCAAGAGCGTTATTTGAAAGGCAAGTGCTGGTGAATGCTGCTTCACTGCTTAACTATGTCCACAAATCGCTTTGAAACACCACGAGTTTAAAACAGTGGTAAAAAGCAAAATTGATTTTGCGAGGAGACTTCTGGTGCAACATTACGAGTGATAAAATATTGTTTAGCAAGACAACTGTGGTATCAAAGTCGAACCTAATCACAAAGACGAGTGTGCCGCAAGACAAAATATGTCGTAACAGAAGAATGCTTGCTGACATTGATCGGATATATGAAGAACTTCAAAAGAAGGGTTGTAGATAGTATCAACATCAGAGCAGCTACTCCAGATTTGTGTTTCGGAGGAATCATTTGAACAGACTTGTAACAGGGGCCAAAGGTGTCCGTGTAAAGAAAATAACAGTGCCTTTCCATGTTATGGCTAGCTGAATGGGACGCGGATGAATATGCAGCTTGGCAGCACCGAAGTGGCAAGGTGATGTAGCCACGAACTCTTGGTTTCTCAAAACTGTAACAAAGTGCATCACCCATTCCGCAAACATTTAGATTCCTGCGATTGTAGTTTTGCTGATTCACATGGCATGCGAGTCATGGTAGCAGTATCTAGGGCCATCTATACACAGAAAATACATACTCTGTCCCATCTCACAGAACTACCGGCCGACGCACCCGCTCCACCTTAAAGAAATATTGCATTCATGATCTTTTTGATTAGTCTGGTCTAACTGGAAGGAGATGTATGCATGTGATATGGGAGTTCGGCTACCGATAATATGAATCGTATCAGACTGGCAGTATCATTGGCAGCTCACCCGATGATGAACACGGAGATTGCTGGAAGTGGAGAATTGGCGATCGCAGTCGGGACAGGGATGCAGCCGAAGGCCCCAGTGAGCTCGAAGGTGTGTGGTAAGGGCATTTGATGTAACAAACCGTCGGTCACAAAGATTACAGCGAAATGGGCGGTCGCCCGAATGTGTCCGCATATGCGTCTGAAAGCACAGCATCATTCATACTTTACCTATGGAATGAGGGGATTTCAGTAATTGCTGTGATGACGCAGTAGGTGGCAACATCATCCGCAGAAAATGCTACTTATAATAGTCTTAAGTAAGCATTAAACTTCATTGACCCCTATGAAGCCTGACACTAGCTCTGCGATTTTCTACTCGCTAAGATAGGCTCTACTTAAGATAAATTAAGTAGAAATACACGACGTAGGCCAACCTTAAGATTGCTTGAACTGCTGAAATCGGCGCTACAGAGGGTACATTTGTAGGGTCTCTCACGCGTATGCGTCCTTTCGTGAGTGAGAATATTACACATGGTAGCGCTGGTTTTGTCACAGAAACGGCACTTAAAAGGTTTCTCGCCACGATGCAACCGCATGTGTTGCTTCAAACTGGCCGAATTAGCAAAGACCCGAAAACAGAGACTGCATTGGTTACGTTTCAATGGAGCACTTGACCCTCGCCTGTTTTGTTGTTGCTGTTGTGAGAGCTGATGCTGCTGTGAGTCAGTTAATCCATTGACATTGGCCGCACTAGTGTGATCGCGACAATGGGTGGTAATGAAGGCATTCAGGAAAGACTCTTGTCCGTAAAATTCCCGTTGATTACGATCAGTGTCGTAACGACTTCGAGGAATGGTAGGAAATGGAGCCAAGTGACTGTTCATAAGCGAATAAACAGTGGCATTTAAATAATGCTATTCCAAATAGCGATGCACTCTATGAAAAACAAAACTCCCACCATTAATTCTAAGAGTAGTATTCATAACGCTAAGCAATAATACCTGAAAACAGAGTACATCAAGGTTTGCAGAGTTAACCTATTCAAACTCATTGAAAGAGGTAAGTGAAAACGAATACATCAGACCGAACCTCCAAATAGGCAATTACTCTTGACATTATATGGTAAGAAGGAAATGGAAATCACCCAGGTAGTGTATTTAGGAAGACGTGTTTTGGCATCGGAGTGATGTTAGTCAAGTCGACATCGTCATCCAATGTATATCCATCAGGATCAACTTTGGCTGCATTTGCGAGTTCATTTGAAGCATCCATTACCACTGAAAATGAAGGTGCAAAATAAGAAAGGTGGCTATCCGAAACTACTTCTTAGCAGACGATGAACACAGACACATGGACCTAAACGGAACAACGAACAATATTTCAATTCATTTAAGAAAAAGCAGCTCGACGCCTCGATAAGAAAACAAGGGTGTTCAGTTTGTGCCATTTTCAGCTCAATTTTACGATCGGTACTGAACTTTACAGTAAAGCTAACCAAAACGCTTCTGCTATGTACAAACTACTTGCAAGGCTGCACATACGTGAGCCAGCCACGTGTCCCACGGAAGCTTGAAAACTGGCCTAAAGTGTGGAAGTGATGAGCTCATTTAATGTGCACTTTCCAATGCTAAAAAAGAAACATTGGCAAAAAGGAAGTGAATTGTTCCGAAAGCAACTAGCGTTCGTCGTAATGACATTTGAACGCGTGAGGAATAAGGAATGAGCACACGTAGAAGCGAATGTCAATCAAGCCGTGCAAGGCTGGTCGGAATAAAGCCCCTAAGGCCACAAGTGACAAGAAATATTCGGGCTACCTCAAAATTGTATCGGACGAATAGTAGAGACAAATATTATGAGAATGCAACCCACTAGAGGTAGACTAATCAAGGATAAAGGCAACTGGTCCAACGTCAAGTGGAGAATTAGAAAGGTCTTGCATCATCGGTCGCACTAATCAGGCCTTTCATAAAGCTAGCGTTCCTTTAAGGGCAGTAAGATTGAGAAGAGTGCGGTAGGCATCAAGACAACCGCAACTAACCCACAATCTGACAAAGTCATCAACTTGTGCTGAAAGCCTAAAAATGTTACAGAGCCAGAATAGCAAGATAGGTATAACTAATAAGCTTTGATGTGTGAGAGTGGCAAAACACCTTACATGAAAAGCCGACAAATGATACGTTTGAAAGAAGAATAACAACCTCACATTCTGCATATGACAGCAACCTCAAATCGCCATGAAGATAACAAAATAAAGACGAAATCTTGCAGCTAAAACCGACTATATTAGTAAAACTGTAGGCAAACCCACCAAAGTACAAGGTCAAGCTGTTTAAAAGGACCGCCGTTGGTGATTTGACCCAATTCGAAAGTCATCCGCATGTTCATCACCATGCGAGAGAGCCTATTTGGTAATGCTCATAAAAAACGTATCCTTCTTACCTTAAAAACCATTGTCTTTATTAAGTAATACAAAAATATATTATTTTGTGTTACACCTTACCTTGATAGCATTTACATTGTAGAAATCATACTTAAAAATTTCGTTGTGCTAAGTCACCTTCGATGGCTAATTGCAATGTCAAAGATACCACTATAGTCACTGTTTATTTTTCGATATTTCACCTAAAGTGCTTTGATGAGAGTGTAAAGCCTAAGACCCCCCACGAGGAAGAAGGCATTGTAGCGGCCTGAGGCTTCCAATGGGTAGTAGAAGGCATAAGTGGGGTTGAATACATGTATTCCGAAAGCATTAGGAGAAATGGGGCCTGAGCGCGACCCGAAGGCCAGCCCACGTGTACAGAGCCCAGACAAGTCCTAAAGTGACCGCCAAACGTCAGATAGTCGCATAAACAAAGCATTACACTGCCCCCTCTCTTCTTTTGAACGACGTCCTCGGCGTTCCCCTTTGGTACATCTCCTGCTCCAGCCAA